TAGGTTTGTCAGCACCATACCCGTGCTCGTAGTTTCACCGAAGTGGTAAACGTCTGAGACCTGCATCACTTCGGGCTTTCCTCCCACATTAAGCTGACACGCCGTGATATAACAGGAATACTGTTAAAAGCGGCGATAAACCCAACTCACTCACTCACTTAACTAACGGCGTTGCTGTTTCGGGTTAGCTCTGTTGTTTTGAAAGGGTTACTGTGTAACACTAACTGAACGACAAAGATAAATATAACGTTACACATAGCTGTAAAACAAAGCTAATCTACCAAACCACACGTCCAATAATGTGTCCACCCTAATACTTATGTGATTGACAAGATTCAGGAAAAACATGGCAAATATGGAGAACTCGCTTTCCAAATGTCACGCTTGCATCCAAAGTACCAAGTTGTCAGACTCCCTATTGTTCTTGGTACCTCCCAATCTGCACAGCCCTTCTGACAATCTGTGATGCAGAAAGCTGCAGTGCATCCAAACCCTCTTTGCTCATTTTGTTATTTAATCTGTACATAATAATAACAAGGTAGCATTCCCTTTCTCATTCCCTCACAATACTCACATATCGCCATGATGAATGCTTCTATAACTTTACATTTCAGATTTGATATTCTGCTGGGTGCAATCGTTTTGGTGACCATTCTGTACCTGATCATACAATGTTGTATACGGATTCACAGATGCGCCAAGGCCGGATCTCATCCAGGCCTGTACAGTACAGTGGCAACGAACGACAGCGTAACAGGTACCTATGGCAAACGAATCTATACCAACGTACATATCAGGCTTGACACAACAGACAAGAAGATATCACAACTTAGTACTCGCTGATGAAGTTAACACTCTGTAATAACAATAATCTGGTACATAGTTTAATAACAAAGCACGTGATAATGTATTGCCGGAACGTGTTATACCAATAAATATTGAAAACTCTTAACATCGCTGGGCATATATTTTAAGGACACGTCAGATGATAGATCACTGGGAGGAGCTTATACACACCCGATGACCACAGCAACCCTGTTGCTAGGCTGACGTCACATGGCATTACTTCACCGGTGTATCTTGCCCACACAAATTCACAAATTACGTCACGAGGTTTGTGACGTGTTTATAAACGTTTTGTTGCTGGATTTTTAGTCAGGGGTCTTTTTTTAACACACACACATTATTATCATTGATCATCATTTCGCGAATTCAAGATGTCATATCATGCAAGTCACTGTGACGTATCCTTGGACAAGGGTATTGACTCCACTTGTCCCGCAGTGATACGATTGAAACAGTTGTTGACTGTGATGTGAAATGCCAATTATGCATCATTTACCTTTACAACATAAACATACTTATCAAAAGACATGAACTATATGTTCACATCATTACAAGTTATGCTATGAATGAGAACAAAGAAGAAGGTCTTGTGACCACAGTTTGGATGATTGGGTCAGTTGTTCAGTTTTCGATCATCAACCACGAAACTCAGTTTAATCCTACAGAATATCACAATAGTCAATCAGTAGTGTGTATGCCCATCACGGGAATCAATGCTCGCCCCAACTCGACGACGAGAAGAAGATGTGAAGTTCCCATGATCTCGGTTCTGTAGCACTTTCATTACTCTGCAAATTGGTTTTCAACCATAGGTCTTCAGCAACCCAACAGGATCGGGTGGTCAGGCTCGCTGACTTGGTTATTGCATGTCATCAATCCCAATGGCGTGGATCGATGCTCATGGAGTCAATCACTGGATTATCTGATCCAGACTCGATTATTTACAGACCGCTGTCATATAGCTGGAATATTGCTGAGTGCGGCGTTAAACAACAAACAGACAAAACTCAACCATTTTGTAACACTAATCGGAGTTTGGACCCAACCTTTCCAAATGACAGCTTTGTGACGTTTCTTGGTCAGTTTAAATGAAGAGTTATGCTATTTATGTGCATCATCCAAAACCTGTGGGGACAAACATGTTACGTTGACCAGTTTCCTGTCAATCTGAAGAACACTGCACACTGGACGTTTGGTACACATGGTGTTTTATTAAAATGCTTTACTATACTGCTATTTTCAATGTTCTACATCTACCTCTGCACTGTTTTAGTGAAAAAGTGAACAGTTTGTAACATTCTTTCCATATCTTGAATTTGAAATGTAATGTAAAAAAATAAATCAGCTCTCTTTTATCAAGATAAACAATCTCCCACAACCCCTGAATATGAAATGGCCCTTAGTATTCCACATGAAGCCTTTTTAATCTCGAGTGAGTGAGTGAGTGAGTGAGTATGGTTTTACGCCGCTTTTAGCAATATTCCAGCAATATCACGGCGGGGGACACCAGAAATGGGCTTTTAATCTCGAAACAAACAACTAAACAGTGAGTATACAGAACTACAATAAGTGCAATGTTGTTTTTTTTATTAGCCTGTTTTTCAATTCACTGGATATATCTATTTTCAGTTTAGAGCGCCAACCCCGGTCCTCATCTGCTGTACCAGGCCGCCAAAGAAAACAGCTTGTATTGATGACGACAAAGAGCTTGAGGCTACATGTAGAATCTAGAGGAGCAAGTTACTTCAGGAAATATATAACTATTCTCTTTAAAAAAAGAAAGGCAAAGCTAGATTTGTGTGAGGGAGGAAGACACATTTATACGAGGAACCGTACAAGGTATTGAGCCAAAATGTTGTGGAGAGAACACTTGGTGATTGTAATCATCTCAGTTATCGGTACATAGGAAAAGTCCAAGGTGAAGGTCAGCTTCCATCAATAACGCGGGTGTCCCCCGTTGGAATCGATAGCGCCCATCTCCTGCCCATGGAAGAGACGAGTATGCGAATCACATCCTGGGGAATGGTAAACCACTCGGTCTGCAACGCAAAAGCCAACTGCTGCAACGTCTGGGATTGTGGTTGATGTTGGCGTAGCCGGTTATCCAATTCTCTTTCGGGTTCAAATCCGGGGATCTGGGGGGCCAGGGGAGAACATCAACATTGAGAGAGAGAGAGAGAGAGAGAAAGTAGCTGAATATCTTCTTTTTAATTTATTTTTATTCTTAACCATATTACATGTGTTCATTTGTCAGAAGATTATAATTGTATCATAGCTATGTGCACATAGTTGAAATATGTTGTGTGATTCATCTTTCTGTTCTCCATCAGTGAGCCGTCATTTCTGGTAGTGTGGGTAGCACGGTGACCCAATAGTCTACTGAAAATAAAACTACGTATATATCATTGTGCAAACTTTGTGGTCTGTTTTAAAAACGTTCCTATTCTGGAATAACACTCTTATGACACATGAACATGCGTGGCTTTACATGGTCGTCTGCAGAGTAGTCTCCCTTGGCTCTCCGCTCCGTCACATGAGGATTTTCCGGCCGCTTCATCTGATCTTAATCCCATTGAAAATGGCAAGCATTGCTGAAAATGTTGACAAGTTTACGTCTATCCCAGTCTACAATATACAGTTTAATTGTAGTTAGACAAGGCGTATGAACCAGTGTATCCTCAGGGTGACGTCACTGAAGTAATAATGTGCTTGTGAGAGAGTAGTCTCATATACAGCTTATCCTTTAAGCACATTGAAATAATATGTATTTCTTTGAAACATTTGTAACACAATGCTATATATTTATTTGTCAGCACTATACGCGTGCTCCTGTATTTTTAAAAAAACAAAATAAACCCGAAACAGCTACAAAGAGTTGAATAACAGTTTTAAAGGAATAATAATTTGAAATGGTTTTGCCCTATGTTGTAAACATATAAGACTTAAATCATTATCGGACTATCGGCTTACGCAATGATATCACTGAAATATTGATAAAATTAACGGCGTTCACCAAGATCACAAACTCTTGTGAAAATGTACAGACTAATATATTTGCCCCAATGTATTTACGTACCTTTGTGACGTGAGTGTGTTGGGTTTAACGCCGCTCTTAACAGTATCCCAATTATATCACGGCGTGTCAGCCTATTGTGGGAGGAAAGCCCGAAGTGATGCAGATCTCAGACGTTTACCACTTCGGTGAAACCCACGAGCATGGGTATGGTGCTGACAAACCTAGAAACACAATCGGGCGAAACGGGATTGGAACCCACAATCATAGGTTTCTGGCTTGTCCAAGGGACGCAATTCGGCACAGCGAATCGCGGCGCTTTGGGCGTCTGGGCCACCCGTGCCCCCGACATGCGATGAGATTTTATTATCCAGAACTGTGAAACTGGAAATGCGACGGCCGGGAGATGTGACGGTTGAGATGAGGTGTCACGTCTACATGTCTACATGTGAAATTATAGTACAGTCACAGTGATGGTGGATATTGTCACACTGACTGAGTTTATGCTTCCATAATTGGAGAGCCAAATTTGTCTTTAGAATGAACATGTAGTTTCTGAATAAACTTTGCCTGCACTCGGCATTATTCCAGCTATATGATGGCGGTCTGTAAATAACCGAGTCTGGACCAGACAATCCAGTGATTGACAACATGAGCATCGATCCACGCAATTGGGATCGATGACATGTTTCAACCAACGGCCAGCGAGCCTGCCCACCTTATCCCGTGTGTCGCCTCTTACGACAAGCATTGTCGCCATTTACGGCAAGCATGGGTTGCTGGAAACCTATAAACTATCTGGAATGTATACCTTGAAAATTACTGCGGCGTTAAATAACATTCTTTTACTCACTTTTAGCCCAAGCCGATATTGCTTTTTTTGATTAAGCAAATTTGAACTTTTGTTAGAAAAAGAATATTGATTTCGATAATTGATTCAAGACAAAAACAAATCAGTTTTGTAAGACATTTGGTGAACAATTATTTTGTTTTATTTTGTAAACCGGACGCAAAATGATTTCTCTCTAGAATATACTGGAATACCCAGTGTTTAAAAACATATTCACCCCTCGCCCTGTTATCGAGATGATCTAATACTAAATAGATGTACGTTAACAGTAAATGGACGCCGACCTCACATCCCGACACGGAAGTAGTCACGTGACTGAGTCCAGGCAGGTGATTCACAACAATCAGGTCCACAGTCACATGAAGACGACAGCCATACTCAGTGCCACTCTTCATCATGTCGTCGACAGGAGTACTCGTCTTTCTCGTTTCTACGTTAATAGCAGGTAGGTTCACACTGTCTGCCACCTGTCCGTCTGTAACGATGTTGGTAGTTATTTTGTTCTCAAACAAAGAGCAGACACGGTGAGGTCATTCGTTTTCGAAAATTCGTAGCAATCATTTCGCTTTCAGTGTATTTATGTGTCACCGTTGCAGTGCCGTGTGTGTAACGGGTCTTTAATCAACAGCAGTTTATGTTTACAAGTACAATGAAATGAGGACAGTACTGTGATCAGTAAACTCGCCCGTTTAACATTTTTTTCCAGATATATATACATACGTACATAGGTGCGTCGTAATACATAGACATATACCTGACAGGGATCTCCCGAAAATCGGGATTTCCAGTCGAACGAGGCCAAGGCTAAATGGGTATAACTGAACATAGAGTTATATTCCCCATCACTTTCAAACACGTTGTCACAATATGTTCAAGGTATGTGGTTGAACAGGATATGGGGCTTTGTGTGGTCCTGTGGAGATAAGGGCCTGTGTCAGCTGATAAACAAGACAATGTCACGTGATCTGTTTCGCGATGATAAACAACCAAAATGTATTATATTGACTGAATAATAATAATAACGACGTAATAATAACATGATGATGATGATAATAATAATAATAATAACGACGTAATAATAATGTTGTTAATAATAATAATAATAATAATAATAATAATAATAATAATGACGTCATTTAATACATTACACTACTTCACTGAAGGATAAATATCGAATTAATAGAGGATTTGTTCGAACAGATGTAACATATAGGTGCATAGCAACTGCTTTACAATATACATGGATAAGGCACTATGGAAACATTCCCGTTAACTTTGCTTGAGTGAGTGAGTGAGTATGGTTTTACGCCGCTTTTAGCAATGTGCCAGCAATATCACTGCGGGGGACACCAGAAATAGGGTTCACACATTGTACTCATGTCGGGAATCGAACCCTGGCCTTCGGCGTGACGAGCAAACGCGTTAACCACTAGGCTACCACACGGCCCTCACCAGATGAGATACAGTGACACCTTGTTAGTCTGGTCCTTCCATATTCCGGGTCTTTGTTGAGACGAGCGAACGCTTTAACCACCAGACTATCCGACCACCCAACAGTCTCGCGACCATTCGTTTGTGAATTGAAAAATACTCTTTAAAAAACTCACTCAGTAGGTCATATTGATTTTAATGACAACCTGTTGCTCTGAGTGTTGTACAGCATGGGGTTGATTAATGATTCATATAGTTTGAAAGGCCGAGTGATATCGATGTGTCAGTCAGGTCAAACTAACCTGATCAATCGCAGTTTGTTCTTTAAGCAATGGCAGCCATGTGGATATGGGGGAGTTGTGATTTGCGCTGCTTTTAACAGAATAACAGGTGAGGAGAAATGGGGTTTAACGTCGCGTTCGTGATACACTAAAATGTGTGCGTGCGTGCGTGCGTGCGTGCGTGCGCGTGTGTGTGTCTGCTTGTACGACTCAGTGCAAATGCTCGTTTTATAGTGCTAGCCCACTGACACAAAGTACTGACCCGGAGCCGAGCGCTTGAAATCGACCCGGACACATGAATTCGACCCGGCCACTTGAATTCGACCCGACCACTTGAATACGAGCCTACTACTTGATGTGTATCGTGGGTTTGGGTGGGATGCTGACACACTATAGGGATCAATCGCATTCGTGACCCATTCGTCCAAGCCGAATGGAAATTACGGAAAGATGCGAGTGGTGACGAATGGGTCCATTGGGGCGATTCTCGGATTCGATCGACTATCCACGAATCATGTCACGTCTAAGGGACGCAACTCTGCACAGCGATTTGCGCAACCTTAGGCGGTTTTGCCATTCATGCGTCTCCTGCACTTGTAATAACAACACAAGTGATCAAACTTGAAAACTATGCAATTGCAACCGAACAGCGACAATGGGTTCAATGTACAATAATGTTATAATATGAAGTTTACACGATATGCGGTTTTTCCATTGGACGAGAGGTGAGTCACATGACCGCGAAACTGAACTTGACCCCTAATGGGATGTCCTCAGGTCTTTGTTCAGCGGTAGCGAGAACTAAGATCTGATTTTAATGAAATTGGACCAACCGATCCCGTGAGTCGCCTCTTATGACAAGCAGAGTCACCTTTTACGTCAAGCATGGGTTGCTGAAGACCTATTCTACCCGCATCTTCACGGGTCAGGTTTTTACACCGTTATCAAGATGGAGTGACCACAACCAAGTGATGTGAGGTACATATGCAAGATAGGTTGTGATAAGCAGCATATCAACATTAACAACAGGTAATAGATTACAAGTGGGCCAACCTCGGTCCTATACTGTGCCATTTTAAAGCATATACATGTACATAGGAAACTCATGAAGTGTGATGTCCGATATAGGACGTTATTACGACACAAACATTTATCCAGTAACTGCGACTTCTGTATCCCGTAGTAACGGCTATGCTAACTCTTAACTAACGACGGGGCCACGGGTGGCCCAGTCGTCTGAGGCGCCGCGATTCCCTGTGCAGAGTTGCGTCCCTTAGGCACGCCAGAAACCTATGGTTGTGGGTTCGAATCCCGGTTCACCCCGATTATGTTTCTATGTTTGTCAGCACCATACCCGTGCTCGTGGGTTTCACCGAAGTGGTAAACGTCTGAGACCTGCATCACTTTGGGCTTTCCTCCCACATTAAGCTGACACGCCGTGATATAACAGGAATACTGTTAAAAGCGGCGTTAAACCCAACTCACTCACCCACTTAACTAACGGCGTTGCTGTTTCGGGTTAGCTCTGTTGTTTTGAAAGGGTTACTGTGTAACACTAACTGAACGACAAAGATAAATATAACGTTACACATAGCTGTAAAACAAAGCTAATCTACCAAACCACACGTCCAATAATGTGTCCACCCTTATACTGTTAAATTAGACTTTGAAAGTAAGGATAAGAATTTATGGATGAACAACTTCTTTATTACAATTAAGAGCGACGTTTCGGTTTAGGTTCTAACACCGTTATCAATCAAGAAAGTGAAGATAACTTGCTTTATAACGGTGTTAGAACCTACACCGAAACGTCGCTCTTAATTGTAATAAAGAAGTTGTTCATCCATAAATTCTTATCCTTACTTAGAACTCCAACTTCTAAATGCCTATCAAAGAAGTTAGACTTTGAAACACTAGCTACAACACCAACTCGTTGTCGTGAAAGTACGCAGGTATGGATTACTGTAAGGGCCATTCTCGCGATCTCGATGCTCGCACTTTTGGCATATATAGCTTGTTTTCAAAGGTCGAGAATTACAGCAAGCATGGGTTGCTGAAGACCTATTCTAATCCTTCATGGATGCCTGTAAGTAGTCCAGTATATACCAGACAAACCGGTGACGTCGCACTCTGTCGATGTACGACGACGTGTAATCATTCATGTCACCGAGCCTGACAGCCTGATCCATCTGTGTCGGCAATAGAGAGCTACAGCTCCCAGTGGGAACTTCACCCTGAAACACTGCCCTAACCCCGCCCAACGTGTGTGTCATAGGAGGTCAAGGCATGTTCAGACTCACTTGGGGGCTGTCGGGTAGCCTAGTGGTTAAAGCGTTCGCGCGTCACGTCGAAGACCCGGGTTCGATTCCCGACATGGGAACAATGTGTGAAGCCCATTTCTGGTGTCCCCCGCCGTGATATTGCTGGAATATTGCTAAAAGCGGCGTAAAACCATACTCACTCACTCACATAGAGTCGCTTGGCCCGGTCCCTATTTCGATAGTGTGAGTGAGTGAGTATGGTTTTACGCCGCTTTTAGCAATACCCCAGCAATATCACGGCGGGGGACGCCAGAAATAGGCTTCACATATTGTACCCATGTGGGAATCGAACCGGGCCTTCGGCGTGACGAGCGAACGCTTTAATAACCACAAGCCATCGCCCCTACTTCGAAGAGAGAAAGGATGACGCGTGTCATTGTATCACAGTGATGCATCGGCAGGACATTGATCACTGAAATAAATGTACATGTACCTACTTATTTATAAGTTCAGTTGTATTACTATGAATATATCAATACTGCTCAAGTAATGTGTGTATGAAACATTTTTGGAGGATGTCGCGCTAAAGGGGTTAAACAAATACAGTTAACTACGGTTATAACGAACACGCTTATAACGAACTGACGGATATAACGAACTATTGTTTTGGTCCTATCTATTTGCTGTATATATTCCGTACATTTGCTTACAACGAACTACGGTTATAACGAATTAATATTAGTGGTCCAATGAGTTCGTTATAACCGTGGTTTACTGTACTTTTTTCACACAACTCTTTGTTTCCAGGTACTAGTGCTACCACGTGCTATGGAGCCTCTTCGAGTATCAACTGTTTATTTGGTTGCTGCTCTGATGCTTACTTCGTCTACTGTTGCCTTAGCAACGGGTAAGTGTCTGGTTAACGTGGTAAACGTCTGAGACCTGCATCACTTCGGCCTCTCCTCCCACATTGAGCTGACACGCCTAAAGGCTTGATAAAACTGGAATAATGTTAAAAGCGGCGTTAAACCAAACTCACTCACTCATGCCAATGGCCAGGGTTCATTCCTGTCCTCAGACGGGTGGCACTGTCGCTAAGGCGCCACAATTCGCTGTGCAGAGTTGAGTCCCTTGAAGAAATTATAAGAAATATAATAATTAGTATGATCATGGGTTCGAATCCCGTGATATAAATGAAATGACCCCACCCACTCACTAACACGCCGTGGTGTAACTGAAATACCCCCACTCACTCACTCACTATCTCACCCACTCACTCACTCACGCCGTGATAAAACTGAAATACCCAAACCCACTCACTCACTCACTAACCCACTCACTCACTAACACGCCGTGGTATAACTGAAATACCCCTACTCACTCACTCACTCACTCACTCACTCACTCACTCACTCACTCACTCATTCACTCACTCACTCACCCACTCACTCACTCACGCCGTGATAAAAATGAAATACCCAAACCCACTCACTCACTCACTAACCCACTCACTCACTAACACGCCGTGGTATAACTGAAATATCCCCACTCACTCACTCACTCACTCATTCACAGGGGCACAGTATGTGAAGCCATTTCCCCGTCGTGATATTGCTGGAATATTGCTAAAAGTGACATAAAACCATACTTAGTCACTCACTCTTCGAAATAGACGCTTAAGACGAAGACATCTTGATGGATGAGCGTCGTTTCTATTGCTGTTGTACTTCTACTACTTGATTTTACCAATTTGACAGCCTCCATACATTGTGGTAACATTATCGTCTTGTTGTGTTGTGTGCAGTGCTGGCATCGGCATCATCATTGGCGTGATAGTCATGGTCCTCTCCACCTGCGTCATCTGTCTTCGGGTACGACGTCGTCGTGCACAGTACCAGAACATCGCTGTAGGGCAAAAGGTATACAACACCCCGGGAACGACAGTGACGCAATGTAAGTGAACACTTCCTCGGTAAACACATTCTAAGTAAAAAAATTCTCGGTAAACACATGTTTTATACATATCGTTCTTGTGAGGCATCTTAGCTGTAAATTCAGAAGATAATATGTCTATGTATTATGCGATCCATTTAGGTTAAGCCATAAAACCAGAGTCGGATTATTCTGATATACTTTCTTTATACCAACTTTTTGCTGATGGGGACATGACAATAACAGTGATGAACATGATGTGTAAAAAAGAATGTATGCAAACGTCACAAGAAAACATTGATGCGAGGCAACAACACGGCGGCAAAGCAAGTCTTTTTGTCAAATTAAAATTACAATAAAATAATGTTCTCAAAATATTTAATCAACACAGGCATGTTTAAATCAATATAAAAAAATATAATTGCCTGAAAAACGTAACTGCTTCAGGCTGTTCAATAAGAAAAGAACTTGTCTGCCACTGAAAATACATTGTCGACAAATTTTAAGAAAATGATATGAATATTTAGATTTAATTTTTAAAATAGCAGGTGTTGCTGGTGTAGCAGAACTAATATAATAATACAATATATAAGTCATAAGTCACATCCAGGTAACTATTACAAATAGACCACGGCTGCCAATAAGGTTATGATAATGTCACATATAAGAAGAGTCTTCCTTAATCTAAAAGGTGTTGTTAATCCACAGTACACAGCAACGTTAATCCAAACGGTGCCGTTAATCCATACAGTACCTTCAAGAACAGTTCCCCGGTTTAACAAATATCCAGTTTAAGTAAACCATGGCTACAGATGACTATTATGCAGTCATGATAAAAAAGGTGCATTATTCGAATTAATAAGGATCTAATGTCTTTGTTGTTAAACTATTTTACGTCTATTCCAGGTCAAACGGCATGTTCTCAGCCAAATGCTTACGCTTATGGACAACCAAACACAGGTTATGGACAACCAAACCCTGGTTATGGACCACCAAACACAGGATATGGACAACCAAACACAGGATATGAACAGCCAAAGACGACGTACGCGACAGCCCCGCCTCCATACAACGGTTAACGAGCACTGGGTGGACGAACACTTTCTGTGATATTAGTTCAGTGTGAAACACGCTTTCGTTATTTCTACACAGTTTAAAGACAACATCCAAAAATGATTAATTTTGTAAAGTGTGGTAGCAGGTGGTAAAGTCAAGAGGATGTAATGACGGCTTTTAATAATGATATGCTCGATGGCAGAGAACAGGCATACGGCAATATTAGGAATTGGTGGATAGAATGAGGTGTTCAAACAGTATTGAATGATTAATATTGTCGTAAGATAAAAATGCATCCCCAAAACCAATGCATGACTCTGCAACTCGCCTGGTAATGGGGTTTCATTAAGTCAAGGAGTAAGGGTGCGAGTAAGTTACTCCTATTTATCCTATAGACAAGGATGAACGCAACACAAGGTTATATACTCACTTAACTACACCTCAGTCCATCTATCAGTACACACCAGGATCAGATCGGCCAGGCTCATCAGTGAGTGGAGAACGCACTCCTCTCTAATGTTGAGGGTATCATTTTAAAGTGTTCGAGTCTGGCCTGTCTTTGCCACATGTCCTCATAGATCATTTTGATTCGTTAAGAATGATATCAGACCATGACCTTGTTTGTGTCGTGATCAGAAAACTATACCGGATCCTACTAACAGATCAAAGATCTCCATTGATTAAATGGCGACAAAGGCAGCGACGCAATCCCTAAATATCCTGTAAATGTTATCTCTCTATTGATTTCCTGGCTGTTTGCGTCAACTCTTCCTCGTGTTAAAGCTAAAACCGTCAATTTAAGGTTGACTTTGTGAAAAAATTCTAAGGTTTTGCGATGCATGTTACCTTATAACAATATTATTTATATTCGAATTCATATTATATAAGGTTGGATGGGCATGTCGCCTGACACACCGGAACTACATAGTTGCGTCCCCTACTCTTGCAGGATCCGCTGAATGTAAGTTTGAATTTCATAAATGAACATATTATGACCGTTGGTTTGTTATTGCTTGTATAGGCTTTCCTCCCACATCAGTCTTACAGGTCATGGTATAATTGAAATACTTTTGACTGCTGTGTAAGACCCTAGGCACCCACCCACAATACAAAGTTCAGAGACTGGGCATGTGTATTTGGGTAAACAAGATTTATTGAACGTCATTCATGAGTAATGTTTCTACTTCCAAAATTATACTTGGCAATACATTGACACACATACATCTAACAAACCGAGACTAATTAGCTCGCCTTGCTGTACTCCTCACATCCACAGTAAAGATCCGGGTAGAGAATAGGTCTTCAGCAACCCATGCTTGCCGTATGAGAGGCGACTATGCTTGTCGTAAAAGGCAACTCACGGGTTCGGGTGGTCAGGTTCGCTGACTTGGTACATGCATGTCATCGTTTCCAAATTGCGTAGATCGTTGCTCATGATGTCAATCACTGGATTTCCTAGTACAGGCGCGATTATTTACAGACCGCCGTCATATAGATGGACTAATGCTGAGTGCTGTGTTAAACACCAAACAAACAAACAAAACACTATATATCCTGTACATACATGATGCACAGTGTCCTGAGAAATGGAAACCCGGTGTCCAGGAGCTCTCACCAAGTCGCTGCGATGTTAGCAAACAAGGAACACACATCATTTCCTTAACGAGCCTGACTTTTGAGGAAAAGGAAAACACTGCCCTTTTCATTTGCAGAGATTAAGGATGTGATTTGGATTTTACGAGCAAACGTCATATGCTAGCGTTTGTATTAGGGTTGGGACGGGTAACTCGGGTACCCGGGTCGGGTGGGTACTGAGTAGGACCCGGGTACCCGCAGGACTACCCGGACCCGTGGTTAGTCACATGATATATTGTTCAATAACAAAAAAATCTAGAACTCAATGGTTACACTACAAGTCACTACAATTAATGTTCGCATTTCTCTCCGACTATGCACCTAATCCTTCTGACTTTTCATATGGTTGAATAAAGATATAACTTAAGTCAACTTCAGTGTATGCATGACCAGATCGTTTAATACATGTATCTAAATGCGTTTTGCAAGTGCAGTGGTAAATTGTTTTTATTCCCAATCGAACATTTTGTATCTCTTGAGACCTATATTGGGTAGGGTCGGGTAATAGGGGGGTGGGTACCCGGGAAGTAAATTTGGACTCGTCCCAGCCCTAGTTTGTATGTAACATAAATTTACCCAATAGGGCACCATGCTCAAACCCCAGGAGGAGGTGAGTGGGTGAGTGAGTTTGAGTATACGCCGCTTTTAGTAATATTCCAGCAATATCACGCGGGGGACACAAGAAATGGGCTTCACACATCGGGAATCGAACCCGGGTCTTCGACGTGACGAGCGAACGCTTTAACCACTAGGCTACCCGACCGCCCCAGGAGGAGATGAATTAGGTTTTCTATCATTATAGCTATGTGTTTGATTTGGAACTGGTCGAGCATATATAGATTTTTTTTAGAAACTAGGCATGCTGTAATCTGGTCATATCTTCATTTGAAACTGCCTACTGAATATGTTTGGGAAAAAGAAATATCCTGAGTTATTTTTGCCTTTCCTGGGTCGGCAGGTTGTTTCATGAATGAATGCTTGTGTGACGATGCAGACACGTCTATGTCGCCGCTTTTTAGCAATATTCCAGCAATATCATGGCGGGGGACACAAGAAATGGGCTTCACACATTGTTACATGTATCCATGTCGGGAATCGAACCCGGGTCTTCGGCGTGATGAGCGAACGCTTTAACCACTAGGCTACCCGACCGCCCCCTTATTCTAGTAGTAGTAGTAGTGACCACTGCATCGAGGTATGTGCAATGTGTTGAAAGGAACAGCAACCCCGTCGATTCGGCTGGCCTGAGAAGTGAAAAGAAGGCTTTCTGTAAGCTGCTCAGGACACTTTCCACTCGAAACAACCGTCAATGTGTGATTTTGCATCAAATTATAAATATGAAATAAACATTATGCAATGCATTTAATGAAACTGTCCAACACATTGTCAATGGATGCCCAGTTTTGACACAAACACAGTATCGTTAGCGACAAGATGGTGTGGCTCGATCATTTTATCACCATCTTCGCCATGACAGAGGTTTTGACTCGAGGTCCGTCCATGGTACGACCCAGAATATATAGAGGGCGTCATGGAAAATTAGGTTTGGTACCTCCCAATCTGTTGACTGACATTGGGAGAGTACCCGAGTTGGCTGCAGAAGGCTTCTGTGTCTTCACATTCCCCGAAAAGTTCTTACTCGGTTCGACTAGACAGCGCTTGCCGGGAGAAGTCCAATTCGCCATCTGGAGTGCGTGTACAAGGGGCAAGGGCCCTGAGCTGATGATGACATTAACAGCCTGACTGTGCCAGGATATCACGAAACCTCTTTGCTGCATTTATGTATCTTAAATTGTATGATAATAGTTGTGTTAGATTGTGGTCTAACGCCACAGTCAGCAATATTCCAGCTATGTGACAGTAGTCTGTAAAGAATCGAGTCTGGCCCAGACAATCCAGTGATTTATATCGTGAGCATCTATCACGCATATGGAATACGATGACATGCATGAACCAAGTCAGCGAGTCTGACCATCCGATCGCGTTATTCGCCTCTTACGACAAGCATTGTTTTATAAGTAATGAGAAGTATTGACAGTAGTAGTAGTAGTAGTTGTAGTAGTAGTAGTTGTGTTAGTAGCAGCAGTTGTAGTAGTAGTAGTAGTACAAGTAGTAATTGTAGTAGCAGTAGTAGTACAGAACATGTACATCTAATAGTAGTAGTAGTAGTAGCAGCAGTAGTAGAAGTAGTAGTAGTAGTAGTAGTCATGTACATATAGCAGTAATAGTAGTAGTAGTTTTTATATTAGTAGACGAAGTAGTAAAAGTATTAATGTAGTACTAGTAGTAGTGGTAGTAGAAAAAGTAGTAGTAGTTGTGGTAGTAGTAGTGGTGGTGATATTAAGATTAGTATTTGTAGTAGTAGTAGCACTGGTAGTAGTAATAATAGCTGTAGTGGTAGTAGAATTATTATTATAAGAAGCAGTGGTTGTGGTGGTTGTAGTAGTAGTAGTAGCAGTAGTAGTAGTAGTTGTGGTAGTAGTAGTGGTGGTGATATTAATATTAGTAGTTGTAGTAGTAGTAGCACTGGTAGTAGTAATAATAGCTGTAGTGGTAGTAGAATTATTATTATAAGAAGCAGTTTGTGGTGGTAATAGTAGTAGTAGTAGTAGTAGTAGTAGTAGTAGTAGTAGTAGTAGTAGGAGCAGCAGTAGTAGTAGTAGTGGTGGTGGTGGTGGTGGTATTAGTATTAGTATTAGTATTTGTAGCAGTAGTAGTATTAGTATTAGTAGTTGTAGCAGTAGTAGTAGTAGTAGTAGTGGTTGGTTGGTTTGTTGTTTAACGCCGCACTCAGCAATATTTAGCTATATGACGGCGGTCTGTTAATAATCGAGTCTGGACCAAACAATGCAGTGATTGATATCATGAGCATCGATCCACGCAATTTGGATCGATGACATGTATCAACCAAGTCAGCGAGCCTGACCACCCGATCCCGTTAGTCGCCTTTTACGACAAGCATAGTAGTAGTAGTAGTAGTAGTAGTAGTAGTAGTAGTAGTAGTAGTAGTAGTTAATTTCTGCAAACACAGGAAAAGCAATCATGGCGGATAAACGAGACCTGTATTGATCAAGTTCAGCTGAATAAACAGTGTGGATAAGGAAGTTAGGGCGTTAAGTTCATCACGAGGCTCTCAGTTGCTGTGATATCCAGGAATGGGGGCCGGTCGAGGAGTAATCCTCATCTTGTTTGCCATAATAGTGGGTAGGTATGAAATGTATTCTTATGATAGTAAATGATATATCGATGATATCAGTGCGTTATTCGGGAGTTATTGTATTCACTTCTAGGAAACAAATAACGACCACACAAGACTAGGTTGACTAGACGCGGGCTATGTCTAAAAAAGTGAATAACAAACTAATTTCATAATTCCTTGGTAAATCGTATTCTTGTTACTGGTGCTTTTCGAATGTATTTAAATATAAATAAAAGTTTCAAAATACTTTCCATATTCATAAGAAATATCTGCTCAAAGCAGAGTAACAACAAGTACCATCTTTTAACGTCTTTTGGTTCGACGCGTCCGGGTTCGAAACCCGGACCTTCCGCTCTCCGGGCGGACGGTCTACCACTAGACCACGAAGGCGGTGTATTGTATCATAAGCTAATGTAAGATATATATTACAGATTAGGTTTATATGACACCGTTTTCACCAATGAGGTGCTCCTTTTCGGCTGGCAAATTTAGTGCTGTATTGAAGTAGTGCTTTCCGCACTGAATGTTAAAACACCAATGAAAGTCCCTTGTTGAGCCAGCAGCTTAATACCAACTGAAGGGTCGGCTATTAATACAACTCTTCACGCTTTTGATCGTGTGTTCCCACTGTTAGGTATATATTGTGTGTTGTCAGTTAGTTTTATGCCAATCTTAATACATTTCCTCGTACACAATTATCGAATATTACGCCGGTCGTCAATACTATGTGTAATTTGCACTCATTTAACGAGCAATTGTTAGGCCTTTTATTAATTATTTGTTTCTTTGCACACATTTTGGCTATAAACTTCAATGTAGGTGGTCGGAAAACGTTAAATTCAACTCCCAAAATAGCATTGCTACTAAACCAAGTTTTAACATGATGGGAAGATACTGAAAAATAATTGACTTGTCCTTTTAGATATATATTTTCATATGTATTATTTACAATGGTTATGTGTGTCTGAATGTACTTTAACCCTTGAGTGGACGTTCAGGTCATAGCATGGTTATGTGTGTCTGCATGTAATTGAAGCCTTGAGTGTATTTTCAGGTCATGGCATGGTCAAGTGTGTCAGCATGTACTTTAACCATTGAGTGTATGTTCAGGTCACGTGCGTGCCTGCGTGTACTTTCGCGTACTTTAGAGTGTGTTTTCAGGTCATAGCATGGCTATGTGTGTCTGCATGTACTTTAACCCTTGAGTGTATGTTCAGTTCATATGTGTGTCTGCGTGTACTTTAACCGTTGAGTGTATGTTCAGGTCTCATGTGTGTCTGTATCTACTTTAACCGTTGAGTGTATGTTCAGGTCTTATGTGTGTCTGTATCTACTTTAACCCTTGAGTGCATGTTCAGGTCTTTTGTGTGTCTGTATCTACTTTAACCCTTGAGTGTATGTTCAGGTCTCATGTGTGTCTGTATGTACTTTAACCCTTGAGTGTATGTTCAGGTCTTATGTGTGTCTGTATCTACTTTAACCGTTGAGTGTATGTTCAGGTCTTATGTGTGTCTGTATCTACTTTAACCCTTGAGTGTATGTTCAGGTCTTATGTGTGTCTGTATCTACTTTAACCCTTGAGTGTATGTTCAGGTCTTATGTGTGTCTGTATCTACTTTAACTCTTGAGTGTATGTTCACGTCTTATGTGTGTCTGCATGTACTTTAACCCTTGAGTGTATGTTCAGGTCTTATGTGTGTCTGTATCTACTTTAACCCTTGAGTGTATGATCACGTCTTATGTGTGTCTGTATCTACTTTAACCCTTGAGTGTATGTTCAGGTCTTATGTGCGTCTGTGTCTACTTTAACTCTTGAGTGTATGTTCAGGTCTTATGTGTGTCTGTATCTACTTTAACCCTTGAGTGTATGTTCACGTCTTAAGTGTGTCTGTATCTACTTTAACCCTTGAGTGTATGTTCAGGTCTTATGTGTGTCTGTATCTACTTTAACCCTTGAGTGTATGTTCAGGTCTTACGTGTGTCTGTATCTACTTTAACCGTTGAGTGTATGTTCAGGTCTTATGTGTGTCTGTATCTACTTTAACCCTTGAGTGCATGTTCAGGTCTTTTGTGTGTCTGTATCTACTTTAACCCTTGAGTGTATGTTCAGGTCTCATGTGTGTCTGTATGTACTTTAACCCTTGAGTGTATGTTCAGGTCTTATGTGTGTCTGTATCTACTTTAACCCTTGAGTGTATGTTCAGGTATCATGTGTGTCTGCATCTACTTTAACCCTTGAGTGTATGTTCAGGTCTTATGTGTGTCTGTATCTACTTTAACCCTTGAGTGTATGTTCAGGTCTTATGTGTGTCTGTATCTACTTTAACCCTTGAGTGTATGTTCACGTCTTATGTGTGTCTGCATGTACTTTAACCCTTGAGTGTATGATCACGTCCTATGTGTGTCTGTATCTACTTTAACCCTTGAGTGTATGTTCAGGTCTTATGTGCGTCTGTGTCTACTTTAACTCTTGAGTGTATGTTCAGGTCTTATGTGTGTCTGTATCTACTTTAACCCTTGAGTGTATGTTCACGTCTTAAGTGTGTCTGTATCTACTTTAACCCTTGAGTGTATGTTCAGGTCTTATGTGTGTCTGTGTCTACTTGAACTCTTGAGTGTATGTTCAGGTCTTATGTGTGTCTGTGTCTACTTTAACCCTTGAGTGTATGTTCAGGTCTTATGTGTGTCTGTATCTTTTTTAACCCTTGAGTGTATGTTCAGGTCTTATGTGTGTCTGTATCTACTTTAACCCTTGAGTGTATGTTCAGGTCTTATGTGTGTCTGTATCTACTTTAACCCTTGGGTTTATGTTCAGGCCTTATGTGTGTCTGCATGTACTTTAACCCTTGAGTGTATGTTCAGGTCTTATGTGTGTCTGTATTTACTTTAACCCTTGAGTGTATGTTCAGGTCTTATGTGTGTCTGTATCTACTTTAACCCCTGAGTGTATGTTCAGGTCTAATGTGTGTCTGCATGTACTTTAACCCTTGAGTGTATGTTCAGGTCTTATGTGTGTCTGTATCTACTTTAACCCTTGAGTGTATGTTCACGTCTTATGTGTGTCTGTATCTACTTTAACCTTTGAGTGTATATTCAGGTCATATGTGTGTCTGTATCTACTTTAACCCTTGAATGTATATTCAGGTCTTATGTGTGTCTGTATCTACTTTAACCCTTGAGTGTATGTTCAGGTCTTATGTGTGTCTGTATCTACTTTAACCCTTGAGTGTATGTTCAGGTCTTATGTGTGTCTGCGTGTACTTTAACCCTTGAGTGCATGTTCAGGTCTTATGTGTGTCTGTATCTTCTTTAACCCTTGAGTGTATGTTCAGGTCTTATGTGTGTCTGTATCTACTTTAACCCTTGAGTGTATGTTCAGGTCTTATGTGTGTCTGTATCTACTTTAACCCTTGAGTGTATGTTCAGGTCATATGTGTGTCTGTATCTACTTTAACCCTTGAGTGTATGTTCAGGTCATGACATATTCATGTGTGTCTGCATGTACTTAAGCCCTTGAGCGCATGTCCAAGTCAAAACAAAGCTATTTTGGACGGTGTGGGTCTGTCGGGTAGCCTTGTGGCTAAAGTCTACGCCTGAAAGGCTCAAGGCACTTGTTCGATTCCCCACACGGGTATAATGAGTTAAACCTATTTCTGGTTTACCTTGCGTTGCCATTGCTGAATTAAAGCTCAGATCTGCGTAAAGCCCGACTCACTCAGTCATGTTGTAGATTTAAAGGCAGACAAGTGTAATGGATCATCGCCAGATTGTCAGGGATGTTGCCGCGACGATGGCAGCTGTTGTATCCGTATGCAGTAAGAACTTTAAAATCATCCGCATCAATAATTACATCATGCGTGTTTAAAACATTTTAGATAATGAAATCAGTGTCTTGTTTTGCAAACAGGGGGACCCGACCATTGGACGTGGTGCTCTAGATTTTGGAGGTTATCTTTGACAAAGATATGTTTATGTGAGAACTGTTGTTTATTTGATGGTGTTTAATTGCTTCAAAAGTACGCTTCAGATCACGCATACAACATCATGTAAAAATGTATGTAAATATTTTTGCTTTGAACACTGATTTCAAAGATGTATCAACTACCATTTGTTACGTGAGTCTAGATGTCTTGTGTATCATACTCATAATAATTGCCGCGCCTTCATCAACGGTGTCATGGTATGTGATGTCTCGGGCACTGAAGATCCGGGGTAGAATAGGTCTCCAGAAACCCATGCTTGCCGTAAAAGGCGACTATGCTTGTCGTGAGAGGCGACAAACGGGTTCGTGTGGTCAGGCTCGCTGACTTGGTTGATGCATGTCATCGATCCCACTTGCGTGGATCGATGCTCAAGATGTCAACCACTAGATTGTCTGGTCCAGACTCGATTATTTACAGACCGCCGTCTTATAGCTGGAATATTGCTAAATGCGGCGTTAAACAACAAACAAACAAAGAAACACAGCCAACACGTGGTCTGGATATCTGTAAGCATATAAAGAATGGGTTTCCATATCCAACTTGTGCAAAAAGTCGTTTTCGTTCAGAATAATAAAACCGAAAGCATTACTTAAGTGCCGAAGAACTATATTGAGAACGATGCAAAATGACGTCAATGACGAAGAGCATATTACCCCCAAGATGACGCTGGCTTGGTTGATGCATGACATCGATCCCACAAATGTTATCCTTTTCTTTCTAGGTGGGTTCTCGTCGGAGTCTCTGGCTCGGTCGCTTCCCTCGTTGTTTTATGCCTCGTCTCTGCCTGTATATCTAGACACTGCCAACACTCCCCAAGAGCATCCTTCTCTAAGATATAATATGTGTACCATGGGGACACACTGGAGTAAGTGAGTAAGTATTGTTGCTTATAGGACTAGTCCAGCAATATCACCACCGTCCTCAATTATACAGGATGTTATATATCATATTACCGATATATTCTTTTACGATATATACCCAGGATTAATTCGCTACCATAGCTGAATTTGGGCCCGAATCGATCGGCACGACGCTAAATATAACCAACCAATCAAGTTAGTCCCGTGAGCGAGAGAAATTTTTTGTGAAGTTAGAGATGAAGGTGGCGACGTCACTTCCGGAACGAAACTGCTGTGGTGGTGAATGGGTTCAGAATATTTATCATAATAGAATGCGTATGTAGCAGGGCGTGGAGTCATCCTACAGATGACATCCTTACCTTGTCAGCTTGCTGACGGGGTTAACCTCTTTGGTCATGTGGACAAGGCGTCCGACCTCTGATCAGAAAAGGTCCGTGGTACGAATCCCATCACGGGACTCGGAAATTTTATGACCGCTTCATTGGCGCCCAACGTGGGGCTGAGCACGTTCATATTAAATTTGAGCAAAATAAGCCTCAGTACCCTACTATGCGGCCCGGGACGTGCCTTCTGTTGACGGGAGAGTATGTAGCAGGGCGTGGAGTCATCCTACAGATGACATCCTTACCTTGTCAGCTTGCTGACGGGGTTAACCTCTTTGGTCGTGTGGACAAGGCGTCCGACCTCGGATCAGAAGGTCCGTGGAAACTCGGGACTCGGAAATTTTATGGCCGCTACATGTACATACACATTTTTTTAACATTCAATTTATGTATTTGAATCTTGAGATCATGTTTCCATGTGTTCATCAGTGTTTAATTTCCTTCTATTACATACTTTTGTGACCCATGAGGATCCGGAGTAGAACAGGTCCTCTACAACCCATGCTTGCCGTAAAAGGCGACTATGCTTGTCGTAATAAGCGACTAAGGGGATCGGGTGGTCAGGCTCGCTGACTTGGTTGATGCATGCCATCGTATCCCAATTGCCTAGTAAGTCAATTACTAGATTGTCTCGTCCAGACTCGATTATTTACAGACCTCTGTCATATAGCTGGAATATTGATGAGTGTGGCGTTAAACAACAAACAGACATAATTTTGTCCTCCTCTTCAGGCCAACCTATATTTTATAAGGTTCAGTTATCAGTTCGAATCCCTTGATTTGTCTGCACCATATGTGTGGTAATCAAACCTGGATCTTCTGTATAACGGACGTCCGCTATAACCACTGTGCTACAACTGGGCGACCTCTCAGCCCAAGCGACCCGTGAAGATCCGGGGTAGAACAGGTCTTCAGCAACCCATGCTTGCCGTAAAAGGCGACTATGCTTGTCGTAAGAAGCGACTAAGGGAATCGGGTGGTCAGGCTCGCTGACTTGGTTGATGCATGCCATCGTGTCCCAATTGCGTGAACGGGTCATGATGTCAATCACTAGATTGTCTGGTTCAGACTCGATTATTTACAGACTTCTGTCATATAGCTGGAATATTGCTAAATGCGGCGTTAAACAACAAACAAACAAAGAAACACAGCCAACACGTGGTTTGGATATCTGTAAGCATATATAGAATGGGTTTCTATATCCGACGTGTGCAAAAAGTCGTTTTCGTTCAGAATTATAAAGCCGAAAGCATTACTTAAGTGCCGGAGAACTATATTGAGAACGATGCAAAATGACGTCAATGACGAAGAGCATATTACCCCCAAGATGGCCACGAGAACAACTGGTCACGACGTTGCAGAACCCCATGATACCCTTGTTAGACTAGGCCCACGCGTACTTGTCGTTAGCACTTTAAGTAAAACCCATGAGCACGAGTATGGTGCTCCCAAAACTTATTTATTTTTTAATAACCAGGGCAAACTGGTATTCGAACAAGAGACTAAGGGACGGAACTCTGCAAAGGGAATTGCGGCGCCTTAGACGACACCGTGTCCCTATGAGAGTTAAAAAAGGACATATTGAATTTATAACGGTAGTTTCACATTGCGAATGCAGTTTTCGGTGCTGTTACGCTTAATCAAATGATGCGGGAATATTAAAGCATAATTTGTGTCAAGAGTACGGGAAAATATTAACTCTTTGAAATAATATTGTCATGGTATGTTTTTATATATTTTGTAGATAATCAAGTTTGTATTGTTTCGCATAAACATCACATGGTTGAGAAAGATTATAGGCTGATTTTCAAACAATGTGTCCATATTTTGATCTAAGAGCTATTCTCACAAGTAGTATTTAGTATTCCTGATATCTCATTAACACATGACACACAGCTTTACATGAAATATTAGCCGCTGTTTCTTATTTCAGGTTGAAACCACTGCGCTGCGACCTTTATCACTTTGGATTTCTCCTAAAGCAAGCACGTACATTTTACTGCAATACTGGCACAAATACCAAACCCATTCACTCAGAAGAAAGAAGTTCATAAAGGATCTGATTTTTACAACCGAATTAATTTCGGCGACTCTAAGTATGCTTGCTGCACGCAAAGATGAAACCACCAACCTGTGAAGATAAAGAAAAGGGTTAGAGTTAGGGGAACTCCATAAAGAAAACCATGTTGGTGATGAATGCGCACTCGTGCTTTTATAGAGGACCAGCAAACTATTGACCATGGGAGTATATGCTTAGTCCTTCCACCGGTGAATGAATGCTAGGATGCGAAGAGCATATATATGTACATGTAAAAACAAAAGTAATAAGGTAGAGGTTGAAACTCAACAAGGAGAGCCAGCAGTTAATTAGCCCTGATTGGTGATTAGCAATCATCTTCATCTTGCCCAATTAGCTTCCATTTGCCCGTAACCAGCAGCTCTCACGGCTCTATACTGTGGTCTTTGGGTTCGCGTGCTTTTCAGCAAGTCAACAGCCTCGAACCAATCCAACAAGCGTAAATCCATCTAGGAAATAATAAAATAGCAAAAATCCCTTACCATATTCATAAGAATAAGTGGCCTGTTTCTAACGCTGCCTTTGGGTAATAAATTCAAACAAAGTAATATAACAATATATCAATTTATTCTCAAATTTACTTTATTAAATAGAACAAAATAACTCATAATGTTCAATGGACGAAGTACACCAAAGTGCACCTATCCAGTCTCTGAAAACGCTTTACAATACAACTACATATTTTTCAAAGCTCAGTTTCCCAAGATGACTCAGACCATATCCGTGACAACCCAAGCCACAGCATCCAGTGGGATAAAGTCAAAGCCCTCACCACCAACCTCAAAGACTTCAAAATCAGAAAGCTACAAGAAGCCATCAACATCAAAAGACTCCAAACGTCAATCAACCGTGACCAAGGCTTTACATACCCCCGGCGTACCATCAATCCAATCCCCAATCAGTCATAATCCTTTTGTTTAAAAACTAACTTCACCCTTTTGATTATATTACTGATTGGGCCGGTCAATATGTTTACTACCCTTTTGTGTACATAACAGGCTTCTCCACTCCAGTGTAACTATATCTGATATCTACTCTGCTGTATAACAATTTATACAGGGATCTGCAACAGTACAAGCCATGACTTGATTCGGCAACATATATTGACAAACTAATTCTAACTTTTATCATGACGATTGTCACTCAGCAAAAATAAGTCAAACAAAAGTGGTTCAGTCCATTTACATAAATAGTAGGGGTGTCTCGATGAATCGAAATATCGATATATTGCTATTGGTAGCACTTAAAGTCAATAGTGGGTGAGTGAGTATGGTTTTACGCCGCTTTTAGCAATATTCCAGCAATATCACGGCGGGGGACACCAGCAATGGGCTTCACACATTGTACCCATGTCGGGAATCGAACCTGGGTTTTCGGCGTGGCGAGCGAACGCTTTAACCACTAGGCTACCCGACCGCCCGTCTTCTGTATAAATACTGCCTGCTACCTGTATGTAGGCAGAAGGCGACCTCTTAAACACTTAATGCAACAACAACTCTGTACATCACTTGCTTCATAACGGTGTTAGAACCTACACCGAAACATTGCTCCTAATTGTAATAAAGAAGCTGTTCATACATATGTCTTATCCTTACTTAGTACTCCAACTTCTAAATGCCTCTCAAAGAAGTTCCATAGTGACTAGGGTTTACACCGCATTGATTCGTATTTCAGTTAACGCCGTATAACACGGCGTATCAGCTTTATGTTGGGGAAACCCCAAAGTGGTGTAGGTGTTAGACTACCGCTTTAGTCACACCCTTGTGCTAACAAACCAACGATGATAATTAATGTGATTATGGAATTCAAACCCATAAACTTCCAAACAAACCCGGGGACGCAACATCGGTACCTCAGTCGCCAGAACAACCCGTCCTCCCTTATATATGATATATGATATATAATATCAATTCCAATACAAAAACAATATCCCTTCAATAATGTTTAAACACCTCATTCTATCCACCCATTCCCTTTATTGCCATATGCCAGTTCTCTGCCATCAAGGTGATAGACCATTTCATTATTGTTCGCCGTCACTACATCCTTGACCTTACAACCTACTACCACACTTTAGATGTTTTTGGACATTGTCTATGGGGGCGGTCGGGTAGCCTAGTGGTTAAAGCGTTCGCGCGTCACGCCGAAGAACCGGGTTCGATTCCCGACATGGGTACAATGTGTGAAGCCCATTTCTGGTGTCCCCCGCCGTGATATTGCTGGAATATTGCTAAAAGCGGTGTACAACCATTCTCACTCACTCACTTTAAACTGGAGTTATTTTTTTTCATTCACTGTGAAACCACATAGAGTGTGATTCCATTAAGCACTCAATTAACCGTCGTAGGGTGGAGGGGCTGTTGCATGGGTCATGGTCGGTTGTCCACATCCAGGGTTCGGTTGTCCATATCCTGTGTTTGGCTGTGCATATCCTGTGTTTGGTTGTCCATATCCTGTGTTTGGTTGTCCATATCCTGTGTTTGGTTGTCCATATCCTGTGTTAGGTTGTCCATATCCTGTGTTTGGTTGTCCATAACCACTGTTTGGTTGTCCATATCCACTGGTACTTGGCTGAGAAGATGCCGTTTGAACTGGAATATATATAACGTAAAACTGATTAACAAAATTTGTACACACTTCAACCTTATTAATTCGTAATATGCACTTTTTCGGTCATATCTGTTATATTAATCTGCACCCATAATTCTTAGACTAACATCTAGTCTCTGAAATGAACATATCGTACAGAAAAAAAACAGTTGTTCAGTTATCTTAATAAAAATAAAAATCATTTTCAGATACTGCAGTGATCTAGACTTGCCAAACATTATAGACTTGCATGGGCTGTATTTGATATATATTTGTATCAGGGTCTGTAAGATCAGAATTCTTTGAAAGGTTCCGTATGGCCGTTTGTTGTTTAATGCCGCACTCAGCAATATTCCAACTATATATATGACGGCGGACAATCCCCAGTGAAAAGGACATAATGAGCCTGACAAACCGATCCCGTTAGTCGCCTCTTACGACAAGTATGGTCACCTTTAACACCAAGCGGGGTTGCTAAAGACCAGGGCCCACTTGCACAAAGCGATCTTAGCGCTAGGACTATGTTAAAGTATGGGCGTTACGATCATCTTAGTGCTAAGATCGCTTAGTGCAAGTGGGCCCTGGTCTCCCCGGACTTCACGGGTCCCGTATGGATTAACAGAGACGCTAATACCTGAAGATGTGTTATGACATGCCGATGTTTACTGAGCTTGTGTTTATTATTAAGATATGGTTTACTTACGTTGCGTCACTGTCGTCCCCGGGATGTTGCTGGCTTGTTGCCCAACAGCCATGCTCCTCTGCCGTCCACGATGACGTCGTACACCGATAGAGATGACGCAGGTGGAGATGACCATGACTATCACGCCAATGATGATACCGATGCCAGCACTGGACACAACATAAACGGATGGTGAAATTGTTAAAATCATAAGGAACAACAAATGAAACGACCACCATTCATCAAAATGTCTGTCGTTTGAATTAAGGAACATGCTGATTCGTTCTGAAACAATCCTAGACCAAAACAGGAAGACAATCATCCTACAACAAGACAGCACGATTCCATCAATTAAGAGGCGGGGGAACTAAGATTTGTTTGTTTGTTTGTTGTTTAACGCCGCACTAAGCAATATTCCAGCTATATGACAGCGGTCTCGAGCAGACAATCCAGCGACTGATATCATGAGCATCGATCTCATTTAAACATTCGTAGGAGCCGGCGAGGATCGCTGTTCATGTTATCATCCATATTTAGAATTTCAGTATTTTACATGTCGTCATCATAATGCACGCACACAGCGACGAAAAAAACACTCGAATCCCGCGATTTGATTACGTACAAGCCACAGTAAATGGTCTTGGTGTCAATATTACTGGCAGGACTCATGTCATTATGCTTGAGACTCACCCTCATTACAGTCAGAGCCCCGTGGGGATTTCGGGGTAGATGTACTCACCTTGTCATGGGACAGGCTTATTATAAGTGGCAGCTAATGAATGAAGCGCTCGTAAAATATCTAGGGTTAATGTGGTCGGATTTAAGCGGTCAGCGGCAACCAGAATACTCCAAAATTATTCGAGTTATAGATTGTATCAGTTTCTATATTCTCTATGAGAGCAAGACGAGGCCTTTTTCGACCTGACTTGCTTCAGTACTTGCCCAATGCGAACAGGATAACTATCTGACATCCTAATTGCAACACCGTTTCCGGATTCAGGAACGGGACACGTGCCACTTGAAATACATTCGACAGGAAGGAAGAGAATTTATGGATGTCAACTTCATTGTTATGAGTGAGTGAGTATGGTTTTACGCCGCTTTTAGCAATATTCCAGCAATATCACGGCGGGGGACACCAGAAATGGGCTTCACACATTGTACCCATGTCGGGAATCGAACCCGGGTCTTCGGCGTGACGAGCCAACGCTTTAACCACTAGGCTACCCGACCGCCCGTCATTGTTATGAGGAACACAGCGATTCGGAGTATTTGTTGTGTTCCTCATAATAAAGAAGTTGTCATCCATAAATTCGCTTCCTTATGTGTGTCACTTCTAAATGCCTTTCAAAGACTTGAATTCGACAGTGTATTAAGTCTGGACATTCTTGGGTTCACTGACATGTGCCTAATTGTTGTGGTTTACTTATTTGTCCCATTGTTTTGCTTTTTGTGATTGTTAAACTAATATGTGTTTTAATATCACCTGTTAATTATTCATTTCAGATATTTCACAATTTATTTCTGTACGAATCGATGTTTTGGTTTCAGTTTGGATATCACCTCGTAACAATCTGTGCTGTTCGTAAGAGACGACTAAATGTTTGTTTGTTGTGTAACACGCTCTCAGCAATGTTCCAGCTATATGACGGCGGTCTGTAAATAATCGAGCTTGGGTGAGACAATCATAGGATTGACAACTTGAGCATCGATCAACGCAATTGGGATACAATGACAAGCATGATCATGAACCAAGTCGACGAGCCTTACCACCCGACCCCAATAGTCAAGGATAGGTTGCCGAAGACCAATTCTAACTCGGAAATTAGGGTTGCTGAAGACCAATTCTAACTCGGAAATAAGGGGTTACAACTAAATGGATCGGGTGGTCCGACTCGTTAACCCGATAGCGGAAAACGTTGTTAATAATATCAGGTAGTCTGTCTGTCTTTGTATAATTTCCTTGGTAATATTAAACACTGGTTTGACCGGCCCAGACTCGATTATTTCCATGTCGTTGTTTTATAGCTGGGATATTTCCTACATCAGACACTTACCCGTTGCTAAGGCAACAGTAGATGAAGTAACCGTCAGTGCAGCAACCAAATAAACAGTTAAGATAGCCTCGTAAACACGTTCTTGCATCAGCACCTGGAAACATAGATGTGTGAAATTAATTATTTGTTTAACCTCTCGACATCGACGTCCTCCAAATATGAAACATGTAAAAATTAACGATTATATTCAGTAGTATAATAAACTTTATAATTATAAGCGGTATGATAACTGTTAAGGTTTATGTTTGATCTAGGCTGATTATAATACCTAGAATTTATAGGGGAATTATCTTGGGACCGTACATGTTAAAATAACCAAGAAAAGCATCTGTTAGTGGTCAGACTTTATTCCGTGTAACTCATCATACATTTACATATCACAATGAAACATAAACGAAAGTACAATATTGACAATTAAAATTATGAATTATGAATTAACAGTTACTGCATAAACCTTACTGACAATAACTGCATTTGTTTGAAAATAAAATACACGTGATGTAGCGCAACTGAGTACAATGTATTGCAAATATAAAGGATAACTCTTCAGTAAGACAGGGGCGGTCGGGTAGCCTAGTGTTTAAAGCGTTCGCTCGTCACGCCGAAGACCCGGGTTCGATTCCCGACATGGGTACAATGTGTGAAGCCCATTTCTGGTGTCCCCCGCCGTGATATTGCTGGAATATTGCTAAAAGCGGCGTAAAACCATACTCACTCACTCACTCACTCTTCAGTAAGACACATAATACACGTGTTACCAATTACTAAAACATTCTTACATGATCTTTGATATTTATGAAGGACGTAATAAGCTTTATTTTAATCCCTCACCGAATACAACTTAAACCGAATACTAATAGTATACAAATATTGATATAAAATATCAGTCTGCTGGTTGAAAAATATGACCACATCTTTTATATCTAAACTATCGTTAATTACCAATAATCATATGCCGAACGGCATGTCATTCAACGGGTGAAATGTATACCGAACAATACCGAACATGCAGCAAAAAATGAGCAACTGAATAAAAGAACAAGTGTTATGTGCGCTCATCGATTTTGCGTGTACAGTATAGATACTAGCTCAATAAGTACATTGTTTAAACATTAATTAAATCAAGGGTAGTATTTGAATTTGAACACACATAAATATTTAAAGATACTTTCATTTACATACACTCTCATTGCATTCATGCAATAATATATAAAATTTCCAACACTCACACAAGGACGGATTTCTTCCACGAGCCCGATAATAAGTAACTTTAATTTGCAGAACTTGTCTAAAAGTTATTATATTATATTTTATACCATTCTGATAGACAATATATTGTAATATTATTTCTACTGCTACATGGTCTAACCTAACTATAATAGTAAATCCACTTGCGTATTACATCAGTAATGGCTAATTTAAAATATTGATTATATTCAAATCAACTAACAATATAGAATGCAATAGAAAACTGGAAAATTTTAAGAACATACAATATATCAAGTGAATATGTCTTACCTTAAAATAACCAAGAGAAGCATCTGTTGATGGCCAGTCACTAGGTGTATCTCATCAGTGAAGCCGGAATAAAGACCGTTATTTATACCACCGATGCTCATAGTGGTCATGATATGGCCGCGTGTTCAATTATCCCTTATTTAAACAATACTTACACAATGTTGCTCATCTAACGAGCTGACAATAAGAATTTAGAGATTACCTCGCAGTGATGAAAGACACGAGTATGCAGGAATGAATAAAAAATACACAGTTTCTCGGAGAGCGTGTTTTCATAGAGTAATGTTTTCTTCTCTCTCTGGACATGTAGTCTTAACGCTTAACACCAACGCTTATCAACATAAAACTTGGGAATGAAGGAAGGCGTATATCAACACTGACTGATATAGACTTCGGACGGAACATTCACGTAGTCTTATTCTTAACGCTTAACACATAATGATTATCAACTAAAACTTGGGAAAGAAGGCTGGCGTATATCAACACCGACTAAGATACACGTTAGTACACACACTATTGAGTAATATGCACCAAATATGTTGTTTAGTCTTATTTTATAAAGTCAAAATTATTTATAAAAAAAATAGAAGAAAATATGATATATTTAGGAATTATGAACTATGCAACTATACAAAACGACAAAGAAATGAACGCCAAAATAGATCAAACATCAAATACATAAATGGTAACATGATGCACAATATAATGTATTGCTCAGATGCATTGCCCACACACTAAATTGACTGGAACATGTTTGGCTGATCAAGGACTTGATAATAGCTTTTGTCGACTTGAAGAATGTATGCACTAAAAGGTTGTATTAAACTTGTTCGTAACAGTGAAACCTGGCTAGTCGACGGAAAGGGTAGGGAAGAAATAACCAGAGATTCAAAGGTGGGCAATAGTGTAAGGTGGCTGAATGTTCCAATACGAAGTGCAAAGAGTCGGAGATCCCTTAACACAAAGCTAGATAAACCTGAACTAGGAGTAGTTGCGGCAATATAACCGAGGTCTGGAGGTAACACACCTTTAACCGGGGCAGCCCGGGTGAACAACATAAAGGCAGCAGAAAGGGTACGAATTTTGTAGAACATCCAACGTGCCAAAAACAAATATTATACCAGAGATAGTACTAGCAGTCATGGCAGAAATTTTGTATCCAGCCATGATGACTCAACAGAAATATACCAATCAAGTAGTAGTTCCACTATTGTTCGAAGCACAGTTTGATCCTTCTTGGCACTCTCTGCAACACGCTTGAGACTAAGATGGGCTTTATTTGGAATAGAAAAATTAAGAGCTTTTTGAAATGTTGCATTTCCAGGTAATTGTTGAGAGAACAGATGAATCAAAGAAATATTGAAATAAACCTTGATTGACAGGGAAAAGTTTAGAAATGTCCCCTGGAGAATTGTTACAAGATGAAAAGGCTGCTGGGTAGAAGAATGCTGAAGTTGATTAAGAGCAGTAACAAGGAATTTCTATGACACTAAAGGGACAACAAGTAACCATATGATGGACACCTTTGCGAGCAAGCTTCAGAAAGGGAATCCTGTCGACGAGAACATGGGTCTGGTTATATAACGAAAATCACAGAGAGCCTTTTCAGAAGATTTGATCTTTTGAAACAAGGCAAGAGCATGAAAGCATGGCTGTAGAATGGACAGCAATACGAAAAGGACACTGAAGTAATAAGTTATCACCAGAGCAAGAGCCTATAGTAGAACTGGAAAGTTTAACATAGTGATGATGGTCTTTAGAGATTACAATGCCATCTGGAATATCTAAAAGTTTGTAAGGACGTGTCCTTGATGTGCAAGGGCAGAGGTATCACTTTGTATAGTTGATATGGCTGGGTCATGGAAGACAATGGAATTTTACTGAAATGTAAACATGTGATTTTGCACGGGTAATGATAAATGTAGCATTAGCATTATCATAATAATAATAATTGGGGGCTGTTTGCAGACTGTTGAAGCTTGGGTACTCTTGAGAGAAAAAAAATGCAATGTGGTGTACAGTCTGTTGTAAGATCTGGGGTAGGATCAGAAGTGGTGACAATTTAGTTTTGGCTAGGTCGTGAATACCTAACTTTAGTTCTTCAAGTTGATTGAATACTTGGAACTGTTGAGAGATTGACCTCGTAGGTGTGGACCCAAAACTTTGTGGCAAAGTGAACTTTGGACGTTGGCTGGTAGATGACTCCATAATTAAGACGTTGGATTGGACTCGAACACGTGATAGGATGAGCGAAAACAACCAGTAGCCAAAGTAGCATAATACTCCATGCAGACCCTTAGGAAAACGAAATCAATGGAAACCAATAAGATAAGATGACTTAGAGATGCAAAATGTCCTGGGGTAATAAATGCAAACCCTAGCACTTAAATAACACAAAAACTATGTAACTGTAGAGGGGTTGGTCAAACATTATCTAAGGAACAAAATGACATATTTTTTAGAGACTGAGGAGATCGAGATATGCCTTGAACTATTTAAAAAACATAGGTTTGTGTTTTAGTGCTAGGATTTGTCATGTTTTTTTTTTAATCTTTGCGAAGATAAGGACTGAAGTTAGATACAGCTTCCCTGGTGGTTTGGGAAAATCCAGTCCATTTGATCTGACACTGTTTCCAAGGTCTGATGATTTCGCAGCGAAGGATGTCATCAACAGGAAATGTTTGACTTTGCTGGATGTCAACAGGTAGAGGGAGTGGGTTTTGAATATGGGATGTCAGAATCGGGGATGTTTGATTGTGAGGGTACTGGGAGTATGTCATCTTCAGGGTTATGTATTGTCCGAGGGTCTTGGGATAGACATCTAGTCACTTGCTCTACCTCTGGAACTTGGGCATTGGGTGGATTGTCGGTTCTTTCGGTGTATGTGTTCAACCTGTTGGCATGAACGAGGGATTTGTGGACTTTGGCCGAGTGTGAATGTTGTAGTTTGAATGTGTGATTTTGACCTAAATCAATGGTTGTGAAAGGACCTGCCCATTTGCTTGACAATTTGGAAGAGAGACCTTTCGGGGCTGTTGGGTCAGTTAACAGGACCTTGTCACCAACTGAGAAGGAAGGAACCTTAGGTGTCAAATCTGTTATTCTTTATTGATTTCCTGACTCATCTGCATGTTGTCTTTGGCTATGGATTTGGTAAATTTGAAATGTGTTAAGGTGATTCTCAGCAGTTCACCCTTGGGTTGGAAAGTAGGATAGTGCTGTTCCTTCCCTCACACATGCCATTTGTCTGAGGATGATAACTTGATGTATAGTAGTGTTTGATATCAAGGAGCTCACAGAGTGCATTTACAAGCTTTGATGTTAACTGCCTACCTATGTCAAAGAGAAGAGTGCGAGGTGCACCAAACCAAATAATCACGTCATTGAAAAGAATAGAAGCAGCCTCACTGGCTTCCTGGGTACGCATCGGGAAACCTTTTGCCCAACGTGAGAAAGAATCGACAATCAATAGAACATATTTGTAGTTTGCCTTGGTTTCCGGGATGTCAATGTGAAGGCGGGAGAACGTGTGACCATGGCAATGGGACCATTGGGGCTGGCTTTGCATTGATCGGATGCTTAGATCGCTGACAGATATCACTTTATTTATCATCCATCATCATTCTTCCAACTTTTTCAGTTTGTAGAAAGTAATAAGCAGTGTCTTAAGTGTAAAAAAGTATTGCTAACAGCTTCAGTAGCAGAGCCATTAGTCATGTCATTTGATTGTGATGTCATGGTTACCAATGACGTCACAATGGTCTGCAAAGCATTTTGATGCAATCTCACCCAAGCGATATCTCCTGTGGGAGCCAGTTTTGGATGATAAATCTTGATACATGCCCATATTTGGCAAAGAGGGTTTGCCGAGTGGAGTCCTTTCCAAGATGACATCCACCAAATCATGACAGGCATAAAGAAGTTCTTTGCGGAGAGGAAGAGGCACAACAAGCTGTGTAATGACAGAGGGGCGATTGTTTTTGAATCCTCTTAACTTTGATTGATGAAAATGATAAAGGATACCATCACAGTTGCACTGATGTGACATGTTGGATGAACAGCTTGAGATTTTATTGAAGAGTGACCTGAGTGTGGGTTGAATGAATGATCCGAGGGTCTGTTGGATCAATAACCTGAGCATTGGATGGGTGAAAGACCAGAGTGTTGGTTGGGTGAATGGCCTGAGTATGCATTGACCTGTTTTGCCATGTTGGATGTAGAGGACCTAGGGTCAGTGTCAGGAATGTCTGAGAGAACTGATATGGAGGACGTGTCAACTTCTGAAGTGGTTGCAAGTACTCCTTTAGTGTTTAAGTTGACACCTTTATCTGTTGGGTTTAGAAGTCTCACATACACATCCTTTTTAGCCTGCCCTTTTAGCTCATGATATAGTCGGAATCGTACAACCGACTCTACTTTATGCAGATATTTCTATTGGATATGGAAAGGGTTTTGTCGCTCTGCAAGACATCTAGCACCTTGTGTTTTGGAAAGTGCGGACACAGGCTCAAGCAGAAGGATAGCACATCGTCTGTTCCAAGAGATAGGAACAGGAACATCTACCTGGTGTTTGGCGGGAATAACAACTTTATGTGTACACCTTTCAAACCGGCAGATTCGACCAAAGCAACAGTTACTAGACCTTCATAAATGTAAAGCCATTTGAAGCCAGACAGACTGTAGGTTTGTTATCTTCTAGAAAGACCATTCCGAGGATGCGATAGTAGTGTACAGACCTCCGTCAGATGGCTGGAATATTGCTGAGCGCGGCGTTAACCAACCAACCAACAAACAATATATGACAGGGGGCAGTAGAGTAATGATTACCCAAGGTTCTCGGTTAGAGGGAAGTCTATTACTCGCGTCCTGAACCAAGCATACCCGCGTTCCTTGTACCATAATAGTTTCACGCTTTCAGATATCTAAGAATCGTGTTTAAAATCTGAACACGTTTAGGATTGTGTTTAACTGCTGAACGTGTTTGTCCTGGTATTATCCTAGAATATTATATACACTACATTATGTTGAATACCCCAATATATCCAGAACATTTTATGGAAGGAAATATGACTTCAAGTATGACTAATTTTTATTTTTATTACACATCCTTAAGGTGCCACAAGTCGCTGTGCCTCCCTTTGACAATAACAACTTCAATAACTCGATACTAGTCTTCTACATTTTCTAATTATGAGTTTCAATGTTTTCCTTATTCCTGTGCACAAGGGAAAATGGCGTTTTTATAAAAATAGACACGCGCCTGACTTATTAATTTTATTCGGGACAAAAACCTCGACCATCAACACTTATTTCTAAAATATTTCTTATCCAGATCCAGATCTAGATCTTGCATTTAAATGCCTATCGAATTTCTGGGAAACAGATCTGTGACATTGTCTTGATATCGGCCGACACAGGCCCTTATCTACACGGGACCCAACACAAGACCGCATATCCTGCTCACTGACTGAACACTCGTGTACTGACCTCAGCTTCTGAGACAATATATGTAAATATTAACGGTTTGTTTTGTGTTGTTTTTAAAACTATTACGTACTTGGGAATGTAACTCGTAAGAGTAGCTTGAGTGAGTATGGTTTTACGGCGTTTATAGCAAAATTCAAGCAATATCACGGTGGGGAACACCAGAAATGGGCTTCACACGGTGTATTCATAACGTGATGAATCGATCCCGGGTCTTTGGCCTGGCGAGCGAACGCTTTAACCACTAGGCTACCTGACCGCCCCTCGTTAGACTGGAAATCCTGAATTCCTTTATCTTGAAATTGTTAAACCGGATGAGTTCACTGAACACAGACTGTCTACATGTCATTGTATCTTTAAACATAAACTGTTGTAGACTAAAGAAACAGTACGCGCGCTTCCTAACATTGAATAAAATGGAAGCGAAATTAAATCTACGAATTATCGGAAACGACGAACCTGCCACGTGTCTGCTAAAGAAATAACATGTCTGAGAAAAAATAACTAATAATTACCAATATGTAGACAGACACGTGGTAGACAGTGTTTACTTACCTGCTATTAACGCAGAAACAAGAAAGACGAGTACTGTAGCCGACATGGTGAATAGTGGTACTGAGTATGGCTGTCGTCTACATGTGACCGCCCCCGTGAAGATCCGGGTAAGAATTGGTCTTCAGCAACGCGTGTTTGTCGTAAGAGGCGACTGACTTGGTTGATGCATGTCGTCATATCCCAATTGTGTATATCGATGCTCATGATGTCAACCACTGGATTGTCTGGTCCAGCCTCGATTGTGTACAAGCCGACGTCATATTGCTGGAGACCCGTGAAGATCCGGGGTAGAATAGGTCTTCAGGAACCCATGCTTGCCGTAAAAGTAGACTGTGGTTATTGTAAGAGGCGTCTCATGGGGTCGGGTGATCAGGCTCGCTAACTTGGTTGATGCATGTCATCGATCCCAATTGCGTGGATTGATGCTCATGGTGTCAATCACTGGATTGTCTGGTCCATACTCTATTAATCACAGACCGCCGTCATATAGTTGGATATTGCTGAGTGCGGCGTTAAGCATCAAACAAACAAATCATATAGCTGGAATATTGATGAGTACCGCGTCGGACAACAAGCAAAGTAAACAGTTCCAACTCACCTCTGATTCATACACCTGGAATAACCTCAAGCATTGCTTACTCTATATTTTCATAATAAATAGACATTAAAAATATTGTGTCCTGTAAATGCGAGACGAAACTAATTGTGTTAGTTCACAAAGTGACACAGTCGTGATGACATAGAGAAACCGAAAGGGATTATCAGTATTTTTATCAGGGGAGGCAACTTTGTCCTATTTTAAAGCAGGAAATAGACGCGTTGGACTCGTTGTCAAGGTCGTTGTACATTGTAAATGTAAAGCTACAATGGAAATTATACTGTGTATGTTCGTTATAGGTGAGTAAACAGCCGCTAAGATATGATTTTAATGAGATAGGCTCCTTCCCGGCGCGTGATACCTCCCGATGGCATCGCTGCAACGGTTGTGGACGCGGACTTCACAAGCGTCATGAAAAGTTTTCCTCAAATCAAAAGTGTAGTAATTTATATATATGTCACTTAACAATACTCATTATTCAGTCTTTTAGATCTGCGCAATACCAGCTGCAATAGAACTCAAAAGCTCAAATCAAAATTCGAAATATCTTAGTTCTTCAATTTCTCCTTCCAATCTTTCAGGTCTAGTGATCATAATCATCATCACTGTCTGCATAGGCTGCTACCAACGTCATCACGGGTACGAGGCAGTACCAGACACATGTATGTATACGACTACCGAAAATCCACCCCAAACCCCCACCCCCCTGGGGGGTGGGGACCCACAATGTAATCGGTCGTACTATCTTGTCAGTGCAAGCGTTACATTAAACCCTGTCTCCACCTCCGATATAACTCCATCACCAAGTGTTCTCGTGCCACTTTACATGTTTGTCTTGTCCTTGAATCCATGGGGGGCATGGGTGGCCCAGTCGTCTAAGGCGCCGCGATTCGCTGTGCAGAGTTGCGTCCCTTGGACACGCCAGAAACCTATGATTGTGGGTTCGAATCTCGTTTCGCCCCGATTATGTTTCTAGGTTTGTCAGCACCATACCCGTGCTCGTGGGTTTCACCGAAGTGGTAAACGTCTGAGACCTGCATCACTTTGGGCTTTCCTCCCACATTAAGCTGACACGCCGTGATATAACTGGAATATTGTTAAAAGCGGCGTTAAACCCAACTCACTCACTCACTCACTTGAATCCATGACATTTTTATTTATATCACCGTTAATCACCCATATGGTTCGTACGACACGGCTAAAATGAGGACTAGTTGAGATCTGGTTGATTATATATATGGTCGAATTTAGACGTTGCTCGTGAGTGAGTGAGTATGGTTTTACGCCGCTTTTAGCAATATTCCAGCAATTTCACGGCGGGGGACACCAAAAATGGGCTTCACACATTGTACCCATGTCGGGAATCGAACCCGGGTCTTCGACGTTACAAGCAAACGTTGCTCGTGTTTACAATCAATTTTTTGTCACAAACTCAATAGTGTACAAGCCGACTTTAAAGGAACGGCATTAAACAACAGTCTCTAATTTACATATATTTGGCACAAAATTATAAAATTTATAAATAGATTAGACACTCAAGAATAAACAAGTGTCCTGGTGACAAGATAGATTGGAAGCAATCCTCATGGATTCATAAACATAACATTTGAAATTCATTTCTTCTTTTCACTGATATTATCGATAGTTTGTCATACTGAAATGGAAACCGATTCAGTTTAGAGTTTAACGTCCTTGGTAAACAGACTTGTTGCCAAGTTCAGTCAATGAAAAATTGAGATTTCTCTCAGTTTCTAACATCTTGAGGTCATTCTATTATAATATATTTTAATTCCTTGTACGGATGATGAACAAAGATATTTTATCCTTCTACAAAGGTCTATATTTACTTTCATATGGATAAACAATGGGGAGATCTCACGCGTCAAATGATGGTTGTGAAACTCCGGCATATTTGAACATGCTATTACTTCCGCTAACCTTATATGCGCCCACAAATTAGAAACTACATGTAATTTAAAATTAAAAGTTGCTTATAACATGTAATTTGCCTTGTAAAAGCAGCTACCAATAATATGTTCCATATGTAATATTGTTTGCAAAACAAAAAATAAAGGCACATTACCTTTTAAGTTTCAGTTTCTGAAGCTTTGGTCAAATTGAATGAATGACGTCATAGAAAGAATTAATATAGCGAAACCCCTTTAAACCGGACTGTGTCACACGAAACTAAACTTGTCCAAATTAAGAAAATTCCCTATTTGAGAAGCATTGCCAATAAGGAGTCCCCATGAATACAAATGTGAACCGAATTACAAAAGTATTTTTACACTTGAAAATTGGATTTGACCAAAGCGTCACTGGACTGCAAACATTCTCAGCAACAAAGCAAAACGTAAGGTCCAAAACAAAACAGTGATACCCGTATCAAATACACCACCTTCGAATAACCATTTCTTGTTTGATTTTAGCCTGCGTCAAACATGGGTGTATACTTTCTTGTGCCCCGCAGTTTATATGTTAAGTATACAACAGTAATCGGTCGATCGGCGGGTTGTCCGAGGTTTCACTGTATTTGTTTCTAAAACGTCCGGGGGAACGGGTGTCCCAGTCGTCTAAGTCGCCGCGATTCGCTGTGCAGAGTTGCGTCCCTTGGGCGCGCCAGAAACCTATGATTGTGGGTTCGAATCCCGGTTCACCCCGATTATGTTTCTAGGTTTGTCAGCACCATACCCGTGCTAGTGGGTTTCCCCGAAGTGATAAACGTCTGAGACCTGCATCACTTCGGGCTTTCCTCCCACATGAAGCTGACACGCCGTGAAATAACTGGAATATTGTTAAAAGCGGCGTTAAACCCAACTCACTCACTCTAAAACGTCCACTTTGTTGTTTAGAACTTGTATGTTTTATATATTGGAGGTCATCAACCAGCAGGGATACGTCATCACCCGCCATCAGCGCCATCCTTAGGGACATACCTGGCGTACCAACAAAACAACACTGGCCACCCCCAGGGACCATACCGTCCGACATGTACGGGGATCTACCAACCAATCACAGGGCAGATTCAAAACCCCGTGGCTTACCAACCGCACACAATGACAGCTCATCGACCAGCGGGCTACACCCAGCCGTATTCCAACTACAGTGTCGCTCCGCCACCACACCATGCTGTATCAAGTACATACTATCATAACACTGACTAGTGCACAGATACACAATCAGTGTGTGGACAAAACCATTTCATGAACAGAGGGCTTTGGAATCTAGAATACGGTTTCCTGAAAAGTTGGCCAGTGTAGGAAGGGAAGTAACCCTTTGACGATTCAATGAAAAATCAGATTTTACGCCAGGTAATTTACAGTCAGATAGGCATTAGAAGTTGACAGAACATGAATAGAGGAAACCTTTTATAGCTGACAGAAGTTGTTATTTTTTTCTAGAGTCGTGTATTCACGTAATTTATCCCTTTTAAATAGTGAGTGAGTGAGATGGGTTTAACGCCGCTTTTAACAATATTCCAGTTATATCGCTGCGTGTCAGCTTAATGTGGGAGGAAAGCCCCAAGCGATGCAGGTCTCAGATGTTTACCACTTCGGTGAAACCCACGAGCACGGGTATGGCGTGACAAACCTAGAAACATAATCGGGGCGAACCGGGATTCGAACCCACAATCATAGGTTACTGGCGTGCCCAAGGGACGCAACTCTGCACAGCGAATCGCGGCGCCTTAGACGACTGGGCCACCCGTGCTCCCCACTTTTAAATATGATTTGAACATTGTAATTCTAGTTTTAATTTCATCGCCAACCATAATGTATTGTAAAATTATTTGATAAGGAGATCAGACTGCGCAAAAGGAAAAACCTTATGAGGGACTGTTTATTATATTTGTGATACGTTCAACATACATGCACTATGTTCTGGGGAACATAACATGATCGTGTATAATGTGACCGTCTGTAGATAATATGAAGTAAGATAATATATAGATATGTAGGTAGTATGCGTGTATCTGCGGTGTACATAGTTCCGTAGACAACATGGATTAATATCCAGTTAAGTCAAAGCACATTATTTGTTTACAGCTGTATATTTTGATGTTGAGATATTCCAAAGAAGCACTCTCCATTCATTCATTCTCCGCGATCAGCAGACCCTGTCACGTCTAAGGGAAGCAACTCTTCACAGCGAACTATGGTTAGGTTTGCAAAGTAGAGATTGAGTGAGGGCCTGGACTAAACCATTATTTTATATGTTGCACCGCTGAAATGTCGTTGCTTCCCTTTGTGTGACTAACCCTTATTTTTCTTTAAGTCGTAGAGGGCCTATATAACATCACATGTCTAGTTTTCTAACGTAAACACAAACACGATCAAAGTGATGCAGGTATCAGACGCTTACCACTTCGGTGAAACCCACGAGCACTGGTATGGTGATGACGAACCTAACAACGTAATCGGGACGAAACCGAGATTCGAACCCACAATCAAAGATTTCTGGCATGCCCAAGGGACGCAACTCTGCACACTTAATTAGTAGGCGTCTTAGGCAACTGATCCACCCGTCAAGTTTAAGACGTATGGTTTCATCTCTGTATTTACACTATGAGATAAGTGTTGAAAGTTTCACCCGGGCAACTGCAAATGTCAACGTTGCTGCCAACGACCAAGGTGTTAAAAATGTATTGACAAATCGTCTCAGGAGGACATACCGAAAACTTTGGTTACTTGATTTTAAGCGATCTTTGGACACAAGGAAGGCGATTTGCACTGAGGTTATATAAGTGTGTGTCTTAGTTATCTCCCCTTCATTAGTATCTTGATCAACACTGTGATAGCAGTAATGATCACAGTGTTGCGTGTTTACTTTTACCTCGACTTATCTGTGCGCTGACATTCCACTGATAACGTCATTTATCATATTATTGGTAGGTTTCTTTGTAGGATAAAAACGATAACCGTTGGGGTCATATGCGAATAGAGATGCAAATATCAAAGGTCAATAAGGGACTACTTTCAGTGTTTATAAACAAACATGGCGTCGCCCTTGTCATTCGGCGATCGAGTCAGAATTAACCATAGGGAATCTGGAGAAACTACTGGGATGATTGCTATCATTATGAGAAGAATAGACTAATATTATGAAAATCAGTGTCCAGCGAAGGCATTTTACAAGTTTCGGCATATTTGGAGATATAATATTTTTGCGAAACAATTTTGCTAGGGCACGATTCAAGCGGGATCATTTTCCATATCAGTGATTGTAGACCTCTGGGGCTTGGAACCTTTTCCACAAATTAAAACAGTTGTATGTGACCGAAATACTACAGGATATTTAATATCCCCAAACACACTCGCGGGATAACCTATATGTACAGATTACAATGCAGCACAATCATGGTTAAAAGGCGCACGACTATTTTAGTTCACTTTCACCTTGTTCGTGCGCAATATGTCGTATCAATTCACGTTGTTTGATATACACTGAGGGGAAAAAGAAAGTATACTGAGTTTGTTTTTTGTGAAAGTGAAAGTTGAAAGATTTGTTGTCAAACTTATCTATGTCTATTTACCCATCACTCATTCCTGGAACAGCTTGTAAAAAGTAATCTGTGGCTGGGTTGTGTAAAATAAATATGGCGTTTAATAAAATATTCCCTACAATTGTACCGAAAAAATAGTTTAAAAAAACAAACCATGTACAAGGATTCCTTGAGTGCTGACTAAGCGCCACTACAGTTCTTTTTTTGAAAATCAAACATATGATAAACTCAACTGAGAAGTATAGTTCCTTTTGACCTCAATTTTTAACCCTTTATCCTTGACGATTTGACGTCTATAGTAAACAGAGAATTTACTATCCTGCCTGGTAGATTGCGCGTGGCAGCGGTGGAGAGTAGGGGTATACCATTTCAGATACCAAGTCAAGGTGTCACGCTCGCCATTTTGAGATGAATGTGAGTCATATGAGTGTAAGCTATGTATTGGCCTTATGTGTCCTTGTTGCATGTTGTTGCATTAAGTGTTTAAGAGGTCGCCTTCTGCCTTAGCAATTTCAGCAGACCTGTCCCTCTTTGGGGCTCACGTGTGTGAGAAGGGTACACATATCTGTTGTGAGTTTGTTGTTCAAATAATTTCTGTTTTTGCATTGATATGATTTCGATTTTTGTATGTTGATATAATTTCAGTTTTATCTTTGGCTGCTTTGTTTATATACGTTCGAGTGGCTGTCCATCTCTCAGAAATAGAGTTAGTTTGGCCTTCGCTTTTGCATCTCATGGCTTAAGGAGATCTATGACAGATAGCGGATCTAGCTGCAATTCTTGTTTTAACCTAGCCCGGGCTGGGGCGTGGTCTTGACATTCCAGTAACAAGTGAGCAATGGATTCAGCCTGATTGCAAGATGAACAAACCTTGTCATAGTGCTTTCTGTTACCGAGTCTGAGACGTGAGATGGCAATTCCAACTGATTTGAAAGTTTGCTAGGGTAAAACAAGATTTGTTTATTATTTTTCCCTTTCCATTACTTTTGTAGCATTGTGTAAATAAACTTAAAATGCCAGTGAAAATCATTCTTTGTTATCTTTCATCTGTTTTTTTTGCAATTTATATTCGGCAGCTGTCAACATGATGCTCAGAATGACCAAGAAACGAAACTTCAGTTGTCGACTCAGGGGAATTATCCCTGACAGGCATTCATTGGGTGGAATGATTCAGTCCCATTGTGCCTACAAAAATAACTGTAGGCACATTGGGAACTCAGTTTCATTCCTATTCATGTAAAAGGACTGAACCACTATTGATTGACTTATTTTTGCTAAGTGACAATCGTCATGATAAAAGTTAAAATTAGTTTGTCAATATATGTTGCCGAATCAAGTAATGGCTTGTACTGTTGCAGATCCCTGTATAAATTGTTAATAAAAAACGAAAACCCCGCTCATTCACTTACTGAGTGTGTGAGTATGGTTTTACGCCGCTTTTAGCAATATTCCAGCAATATCACGGCGGGGGACACCAGAAATGGGCTTCACACATTGTACCCATGTCGGGATTCGAACCCGGATCTTTAGCGTGACGAGCGAACGCTTTAACCACGAGGCTACCAAACCGCCCCTCATTCACTTACTGAAATGTCACAGTCTGATATGGGATCATCGCACATCCGCACGTGTTAACTGCTGAACTTCATCGCAACAAGTGAGGTAGTAGAAAAGCAAAGGGGATTTGGAATCAACCGTTCACGGACAGGGACCTGCTCCATAAACGTTTAAATATTACTTTTTAATCGTGTTCAATTGCACACACGAGCAGACGGAAATGTTAAATGCTTTATGTAATGTTAATACAGTAAACTACGGTTATAACGAACACGCTTATAACGAACTAACGGATATAACGAACTAACTTTTTAGTCCCGACTGTATGCTGTAGTTATGCTGTATATATGCTTATAACGAATTACGGTTATAACGAACTGAAATTAGTGGTCCCTTTGAGTTCGTTATAACCGTTGTTTACTGTAGTTGAAATGTAACTCTGTAAGAGCTCACAAGATTGTATTAGATTCAGCATCGAGTTATTCATGATAATTATAACCAATGACTTACTTGGAGTTACTAATTGTCTACGACCCTCAGATGAATGCAATGGCCGAGCGACCGAACCCAAAAGTGGGAAAGATATGACAATCGGTATTGAGAGAAACAGTACAGATAATCGACGTAAAAATTGTGAGAATACTAAACATAACCCCCCTGTACATGAAAAGGGGTTGTCCGTCATCCGTCATGCCGAGGTATGATGTATTCGGGGAGTCATCATTATTTTAATACGGGCAAATGTTTTTAAAGCTTGTACAATTTATTGACATCCTTCAAAAAGGCTGCGCAAAATGTTGATATCTCATATGAGAAAGAAACGACTCGTTGTTTATCGGACAATAAAACACTGCAGAGAAAATAAACCAATCGGGGCTGCGACCCTCATGGTTTATTCTCTCTGCAATTATGTTTTATTGTATGATAAACAACTCCCACTTGTCGTGTATTTATTAAATAATGTTCACCCGTCAAAACAAATCACGTTGTTCTGATGTCATGTTTACTTATTTATATGTGACGTCATAGACAATGGATGACGTCATAGAGCTTGCATCGCCCAGTCTGCATTGAGCATAGCTGTAATGCACATGTGCAAATATCGGGAAGTTTTGCATAATAAATTACGCTTGATGTTTGTATCCCCATGGATGATATATGTTGTTTCACATTCGAATAGTGCACGTATTTAATTGCCATCCCAGCTATTGCTTCCTGCTTCACACTCACTGATTAGATAACTTTATTTGGTTTTAAAGTCGAGTTTCATTCTTCGTGATTCAAGTGTGTCATGTGGTAAACTTGTTATCCTTTACGTTAACTTGTATAAGGTGCGATGAAATTTGGTGTAACCAAGCGTTCTTCATGTTTTTACTTACGCGCTTATAGCAGCCTGCATGCACGTTTCTCTGTGTGTGGCTGCTTGTATTAGTCGGACTTGTGGTTTTATAGTGCTAGCCCACAGATATACCATGCCGCAGTTTAACATGAATATCCCACTCAGACACATTATACTGATTCCGAGCCGGCCAGTCCTTATTTTAGCCCCTTGTATAATTTTTTTTTTAATTTCTGAAATTTCGTGTTTTAAGTGAGTGAGTTGGGTTTAACGCCGCTTTTAACATTATTCCAGTTATATCGCGGCGTGTCAGCTTAATGTGGGAGGAAATCCCGAAGTGATGCAGGTCCAAGACGTTTACCACTTCGGTGAAATCTACGAGCACGGGTATGGTGCTGACAAACCTAGAAACATAATCGGGGCGAACCGGGATTCGAACCCACAATCATAGGTTTCTGGCATGCCCAAGGGACGCAACTCTGCACAGCGAATCGCGGCGCCTTAGACGACTGGGCCACCCGTGCCCCCTTCGTGTTTTAAGGTTGACGGATGCAAACAAAACGATGTTCAAAGCTTAATTCAAGCACCCATTGCGGAACTATGTGGTCACAGGGAAACCTGTGATATGGGAATTCCAACTGTGGTTGTTCATGGCGGAAGTTTCCTTGTATTGTTTATGAAATACAAGTAGCAAAATACCCAAGTGGATATTTTAAGACGAAAGTAACGTGATGCTGTTTCGTTTTCCTTGCCGGGTTTTATATTTCATATTATATTGTCCTAAGATTAAAAGTCGACGTGCTTGTCGTGGTACTACTCAGCAGCATGGATCCCACAAGGATTGCTCTCACCGTCCTGTCTTTATTAGTTTCAGGTAAGTTGACCGAGTATCGGAATGGGTGTGTGAGTTGGGTTTAACACCGTTTTTAACAGTATTCAAGTTATATCACGGCGTGTCAGCTTGATGTGGGAGGAAATCCCGAAGTGATGCAGGTCTCAGGCGTTTATCATTTCGGCGAAACCCACGAGCACTGGTATGGTGCTGACAAACCTAGAAACATAATCGGGGCGAACCGGGTTCGAACCCACAATTGGTAAGAAATTAGGTCCCCAGCCACCTTTCGCTTGTTGTTTAACGCCGCACTCTGCAATATTCTAGCTATTTGACGGCGGTCTCAAGTCTGGACAAACAGTCTAGTGATTGACATCATGAGCATCGATCTCGCAATTGGGATACGGTGAAATGCATCAACCAATTCAACGAGTCTGACGACCTGATCCCGTTAGAAAACTGGGATCAGGTTGACATGGTTCATGCATGTCATCGTATCCTAATTGCGTGGATTTATGTTCATGATTCAATCACTGGAATGGCTGCTCCAGACTCGATTATTTACAGACCGTTGTAACATAGCTGGAATATTGCTGAGTGCGGCGTTAAACAACAAACAAACAAACAAACAAACAACAACAACCGGATATGCACCGAGTACGACAAGAACGTATATTGTTGGTATTTCAACGTTCTTTGATACATAGTGCTACTTATGCCACCTACTTATCATCAGTATATTCAAGGAAGTAATTACATCCTCGTTGAATACGCATGTCTCGTGTCATGCACTGAACATCTGCACGTGACAGACACACTGGGTATAACGGGGGTCATGTTCCGTTGTAGTATAATGGTAATGGGCGTAACTGACAAAGCATCAATGATTCAAACTCACGGGCAGGGCGTTATCAATCGGTCCGGTAACATGATGGTTTTGTCACTTGTATCATGTGTCTATACTGAGGCCAGGCGGTTGTGTTTGATCCAACTTGTTTTGACCACCATGTAACATGAACCATTTTCGGTATAGCAAAACATTCTCCCTGTGGTGAACCAGTCTCGGTATAATGCCCAGATTCAGTATGATGAACATTCTCCGTATGATGAACAATTCTCCATATGATGAACATTCCCCATATGATGAACATTCTCCATATGATGAACAATTCTCCGTATGATGAACAATTCTCCGTATGATGAACATTCTCCATTCTCAGTATGACGAACATTCTCCGTATGATGAACATTCCCCATTCTCAGTATGATGAACAATTCTCCATATGATGAACATTCCCCATATGATGAACATTCTCAATATGATGAACATTCCCCATATGATGAACATTCTCCATATGATGAACAATTCTCCGTATGATGAACATTCTCCGTATGATGAACATTCTCCGTATGATGAACATTCTCCATATGATGAATATTCTCCATATAATGAACAATTCTACGTATGATGAACATTCTCCATTCTCAGTATGACGAACATTCTCCGGATGATGAACATTCTCCGTATCTTGAACATTCTCCATTCTCAGTATGACGAACATTCTCCGTATGATAAACCATTCTCCGTATGATGAACATTCTCCGTATGATGAACGTTTTCTTGATATGATGAAGCATTCTCCGTATAATGAACATTCTCCATTCTCAGTATGACGAACATTCTCCGGATGATGAACATTCTCCGTATCTTGAACATTCTCCATTCTCAGTATGACGAACATTTTCCGTACGATAAACCAATAATAATCTTCGGCTGATGAAAATACTTCATATGATGAACCATTTTCCGTATGATGAACCATTCTTCATATGATGAACCATTCTTCATATGATGAACCATTCTCACTATGATGAAGCATTCTTCATATGATGAACCATTCTCCGTCTTATGAACCATTCTTCGTATGATGAACATTCTCCATATGATGAACATTCTCCATATGATGAACCTTCTTCGTAAAATGAACTATTCTTCATATAATGAACCATTCTTCATATGATGTACCATTCTTCATACGATGAACCATTCTTCATATGATAAACCATTCTCCATATGATGAACATTCTCCATATGATGAACCTTCTTCGTAAAATGAACTATTCTTCACATAATGAACCATTCTTCATATGATGAACCATTCTTCATATGATGAACCATTCTTCATATGATGAACCATTCTCATTATGATGAAGCATTCTTCATATGATGAACCATTCTCCCTATGATGAACCATTCTCCCTATGATGAACCATTCTCCGTAGTATGAACCATTCTTCGTATAGTGCCGTATAGTGCCACCCATAACACCCACATGGTATTTACTGACGTGTAGTTCCCTTAATATACACAATATTGGGACAATAATCGATTCCGCATAAAGCATATGACACATTCCCTTCACACATGGCAGATACTTCATTATAGCCCAACCTTGTTCATCGCCGCACTCAGCAATATTCCAGCTAAAAGACGGCGGTCTGTAAATAATCGAGTCTGGACCAGACAAACCAATGATTGACATCATGAGCATCGATCAACGCAATTTGCATATTTGCATGTCATGTATCAACCAATCCCGTTAGCCGCCTCTAACCACAAGCAAAGTCGCCTCTTACGGCAAGCATGGGTTGCTGAAGACCTATTCTACCCTGGATCTTCACGGGTCACATAAATGTTTAGTAGCATGTGATTGCAGACAATACCAATGGGTGACTTAAAACAGACTTCATATTTACATTTTTTGGGAGCGGATGGAATAGACACCCCACCCCACACACTCTTCCGGATTCAGTAGGTTTGCATTGTCACAAAAGTCCTGTAACCTTTGTCCTGTGACCTTTGTCCTGTGACCTTTGTCCTGTGACCTTACTATTACGATAAACATACGACCGAATCTTCAACATGAACTGAATTTAGCATGTAAAGAAAATAGTTCTTGTTTAATACAGCAACAGAAATAGACCTCGATATCTCAAATGCCTTGAAAACATTCAGTCGAATTTCCCATTGTTCGAGACAAAAGGTGTGTCCTTGCAATGAACGTTTTTTGAACGAGCTCACTGATAGAATGTGTTATTTTTGTGACATTTATTTTTTACTTTTATTCAGTTCTGAGTATCTGTCAGAACTGATGTGCAGAATTGCCCTGAAAAGCGCTTTCTTTGCATCTTCTTGAAATGATAATGCAACATAATGTATATTTGTATACTGTATCTAGTCTGTAATAATTTTATGCTGGGAGGGGGTATAAAATAGTATACTGCAATGACAACACCGGTAAAGGAATAGGTAAGCTACACATGGTAACACTATATTCTTGATTACACAATTTAATTTAATAGTTGGGAGCCCATGCAATTAGTAGTTAATCCTCATGCGGTGCGGAGTGAGTGGTGTTGTCAAGTCCTCTAATGCTCCGCAATTTACTATACAGAGTTGCTTCCCTTAGGCGTCCCAGGATCCTATAACCATGAGTTCAAATCCTATTCTGGTTCAGGTTTCATCGAATCACCTCCTCCTGAGATGAACTGTTACAATCAAACGTAACACTGATCAAAACAGCGTCAAACCAAACATAATCAATCAGTGTGTGCAACTGTGTTAAAGTTTCCTCAAAGAAGAACGTTGCTGTAGTCTGTGTTATTGCCTTTGCTATGATGAATCATACATCCACTACAGTTTACGCAAACACGGAAACAACTTGTTTATATTTCCTTCCGGCGTATACACAGTCTAAACTAATATAACAGTGTCTCAATAATGTGGCATGTTTTAACCCTTTGGTCTTTGTGAACACTGAAAGAGAGTGTTCGAAGTGTGTCATTGTTCAACCAGCAGTAGTGGGTACCCGGTAGTACAAGATGGTGATGTGAAGTCGCTAAAGTGAGTGAGTGAGTGACTTGGGTTTAACGCCGCTTTTAACAGTATTCCAGTTATATCACGGCGTGTCAGCTTAATGTGGGAGGAAAGCCCGAAGTGATGCAGGTCTCAGACGTTTACCACTTCGGTGAAACCCACGAGCACGGGTATGGTGCTGACAAACCTAGAAACATAATCGGGGCGAACCGGGATTCGAACCCACAATCATAGGTTTCTGGCGTGCCCAAGGGACGCAACTCTGCATAGCGAATCGCGGCGCCTTAGACGACTGGGCCACCCGTGCCCCCGAAGTTGTTATCGAGGTGTAGCGATTCACGAATACGAGTACCATATCATTACAAAACAATATAGTGTCTACAAAGGTGACATGTAAAAGTTACAAATTGATTAATTTACAAGTTACTGCCATATGCAATCGGTCTTAAGCCACCGTGACTATTTCATGAAATTGCTTAAAACGAAATATCTGTAGTTTGGGTTTCCCAAAGGTGGGACAGATTATCTGCTAAAACCTTCCGGTCATTTCGTTAAATTATACAAATTGCTACATGTTTCGTTTCTCTTTCATGTTGTCAGGTTTGGAAGCAAAGCACTGCAGGGTGAAGGATGAGACTTATACCTGCTTCTTCGGATGCTGCAAAGCTAGCTTCAGCAAAGGCTGCTGCCTACCGAATCAGTAAAGTTTATTCTTCTTATCCATAGAACACAAAATACAGGAAACATTGAATAATTTTGATTTCAGATATTTGACTAACATTTTCGTTTCCGTATTATTCTCAAACATAGCAGTAGTAATGATTGGTTGTTTCGGTTGGATATTATCATATTGAGTAGGGGGACAAGGGTGGCCCAGTCGTCTAAGGCGCCGCAATTCGCTGTGCAGAGTTGCGTCCCTTGGGCATGCCAGGAACCTATGATTGTGGGTTCGAATCCCAGTTCGCCCCGATAATGGTTCTAGGTTTGTCAGCACCATACCCGTGCTCGTGGGTTTCACCGAAGTGGTAAACGTCTGAGACCTGCATAACTTCGTGCTTTCCTCCCACATTAAGCTGACACGCCGTGATATAACTGGAATACTGTTAAAAGCGGCGTTAAACCCAACTCACTCACTCACGCACTCACATACAGGTAGCAGGCAGTATTTATACAGCAGAGGGGCGGTCGCATTCACTCACTCACTCATGTTGAATATGGCTACTTATTTCCACCCACTCTGTGGTACAGGTTTGGGTTCTTCCTCATCATGGTCGGGGTCATGCTGATCGCATCCAGCATCGTTGCCTGCATCCATACCTGTCGACGACGTCCCACCTACATGGCGATACCGGGAGCAAGTATGTATATGTGTAGTGGAGGTCAGCTTTACACAAGTGTAGCATTTCTAGTTCAATCGAAATTTGTTCCGTGTCATGTCGACATAGTGATAAACGATGCAGATGAGAGAGGTGATGTCCTTGGCCACAAAGAAGGCCTATTGGCGCCCATCAAATTCAAAGTTCAATATGTATATTCTCTGCATTGTTGCTTACCATGTTGTCCAACCTGGTCACCCTTGTAACACTGTATCTACAATATATAAATAGCAGCATGGTATGATGTTCTTGTTTAATGGCGTCATCGTTATAAGGTGAATTTGGAAACGATTTTAATTTGCATAATTTGCTAGTCACACTTCCAGTCAGAGTAGGGCGTTTGGCAAAGCTATTCCTTTCAAAACGTTTGTTTCTTTGTTGTTTAACGCCGCATTCAGTAATATTCCAACTGCATGTAAACTATCGAATATAGGCCAGATAATCCAGTGATTGATATCATGAGCATCAATCGCACGCCCTCGGGATACGATGACGCGCAATCGACCAAGACTGGCCAACCGATGCATTAAATCGCCTCTTCCGACAATTACAGATTGCTTTGGACCTATTCAAACTCTGAATATCTACGGGACGTGATCAAATATATTGCCTCCCAGAAGGAGGTTATGATTTATCCTTAGTTTGTATCAATTATGGATACTACGGTAACCAGAGGATATATAAACACAGCTTTGTGGAGAGATTTTCTTGCATCTTTACCATGGTCTTTTCGAATATTTCAGATTACCAAACAATGTGGTATTCACAGCCACATGGATCATATGACACCCCTCCAGGAATGCCATCTGGCGCGACCATCGTAACCTATCCACAGAACAATACATCCGATGTCTTCCAGCAAAGATTTTACCAACAAGCTAGTACAAGGGGTTTTCAACCAACACCGGGGTCGAATCAGGATCGAAGGTCTCCTCAACGACAAGGAACACGGGCCTACAATTCATTCGGACAGACTCAGCTCCCAGGGTTTGACCAACGAAATGGAAGCACCTCCCATCCCAACACAGGGCGGCCTCAGAATCAAGTGTCTGATCAAGGAACAAGGGGAAGAACATCTGAGCCATTGTCGGGACTGACTCAGATCCCAGTGTTAACCCAACCAACACATGGAAGGCCCTCTCGACCAATCACAGGGCGGACTCAGAATCAGACGAACAAACAAACAGAAAAAGCTGGACAGACCAAGACCCCAGTCCACAACCCACAAACAAACCGCAAGAGCTCCTGGCCAAACACAGGACAGGTTCTGGACCCAGCGTCAAATTAATAAAATATGCCAGCCAGTCACTGACCAAATCCAGGGCCGTAAATTAAAGCAACAAAGTGGAAAGATCTCCCAACCAACTCCAGGCGGAGCCAGAGTCCAATGACAACCTTGGTCGTGCCCAGCAGAACTTAGGGAGCTGCAGCATCGATCTAGGACCACTCAAACCCGTCTCATAAAACCATCATTTTAATTCAAACTTCAAGCTATACATTAGAGACTAAACTGCAAATGCCATCAGCACAAGTGACACATCGACAATGTTCAATTAAAAATAGATGTGTAAATAGGTAAAAACTATACTCTTACATATACAAAATATGTCTGAAAGTAAAACTCCAGGTAAAATGCTATTTATAGTGAAAAACTGTTTTGAGCAGTTTTCTTGTTTCATAGATAGCTTTTATATATATTGAATGTAAACTTAAATCGCCAAAATAATCCTGGCAATTGCCAGTTAGGAATGATGATATCAAGGGTTAGACCAAAGCCAAGAAACTATCGAAATATTATTCTTTTTTCGTTTCTGGGAAAACAATTAAAAAAGGTCACCCCACATCGACTTAAAATGTAACGTAGTATGGTCCAATGTTTCTGAGCAGACTGCTTTCTAATTGTCAAAGCAACAGAATACTGAAGCGTGCTTTTGGTTTTTAACAAACGAACCCACAGTTTATGAAGCCTCCTTTTATAATCGCGTGTGACATTCTAGTCAATTGGTTTTCTAAAGCTGTATGACGAGGGTATCAATGGCAAGATATAGAACGTCTACTAACGTGTCTTATGTTATAACACCTTGTGCCAACACTGTGTGATGGTGATTCATAAACGCATGCTCATGATATGGTCGGAATTGTACAATCGACTCAGCTTTTGCAGAGATTTCTTCTGAATATGGTAACAGTTTTGTCGCGTTAATTTATTATCCTAATGTGGCATCGTGCACATTTCCCATGAGTTAGGACAAGCAACATTACTTTTGTATTAATACCTCCAATATTCACTTCAGAGACATTCAGGTGGGTTATGATAGGAAAAACCCCTTTTGAACCATGCATCCTCTATGAGAGTATCTTATACGTTGAAGTCCTCGTTAAACAGATTTTATTGAAACAATTACATGCTGGTATCTCATTGTGGGTCGGCAACCGAATTCCAGTGAATAAAATATTGATAAACATTAAATAGAATACCTTACAATAATGTTTACTGGACTTCTGTATGAGATAAAAGGCTCAGATAACGTCAGCTGATAGATATCAATATCCGTGTACAAGATTTCACAATACCCATACAAAGCCTTCAACTGCGTAGCGTGCAACTGTGTTGTGATATTTGAAGGAAACTCTGGAAGATATTAATTCGTTCGTTAAATCTCCTAAATCCATAATTTCAAGATCAGGATGACCACTTGCCTGAAATTTAACATTGTCAATGTTATTTTCCGAATACCTGTGTATATATTTAAGTATGTTCACCAGCACTTGCTAATAGTTTAACTTGTGACTGTGTTATCTGTGTAAATACTGGGTGTAAAATACAGAGTAAATAAATCAAATATGTAACATATATCGTTTGTATTTGTATATATCATGTTTCATTAATTAATACAGCACATCCCCAATATCTACATTGTATCATATATTTAGAACACCTTGTTCATCAAGGAAGTACAATCAGGAAGACTCTTTAGCATAGGTGTGTAATGTGTCACTCAGTTAACATACTAGCAATAACATACTGCTAACTCTAAAAACTCGGAATCATGAATACTTTTCACACGCATTCAGTAACATGTTCCGTATACAATAACGATAGTAATTATCACAATATGCGAGGGGATGCTCACAAGTTCTGGGTCTAACTATGAATATGGATTGTAATACATGCCTACAGTTTACATGTATTAATTAAGTACAGTACTTTTCATTTTACAGCCTTATTGGGTCAATACACAACCAGGCATCATATTAATGCAAGCACTCTGTTCCTGAAAGTGGATAAAATGAACTATAGCGATGTTATCAAATATCTCCAACTGAAAGGGCTATTCTTAACAGCCAGCCATATGCGGGCATGCTCAGGATCATGTTCTTTCCATTTCTACTGTTAAGAGGCAGTGAAGTTAAAGAAGAGAAGAGAGAGCCTCGAAGATGACATCAGCACTATGAAAAATGTTGATATAGCATGATAATGGATGATGGACGAATCACCATTTGTCACATAGCCAATACGGAAGGCAGCACTCATTGGACAGCTGAGAAGATTCTGAGGAATGAACTGGACATGAATTATACATACACTTTTTAGGGATAACAACTAACAACTTCTTTATTCTTTGTAACGACGTTTCGGAGCTCAAAACGGCTCTTCAGTGTGACGAGGGAACGCTTTGACCGCTAACCTATCCCACCGCACCCCTGTGACCTATATATGAGTTGAAGTCACATTAGATTATGTATTGCTCAACATGGCCACTGTCTGGTATGAGCGTAGCTCACACGTATCTTTTTACAGTTAGTCATCAGTAACATGCCGTATCAATACCTCGACCTGAGTGACAAGAAGATAACCAGCGCATATAATCTATTCCACATCCTGTGACCATGAAGGCTGAAAGTGTTGTGATCGCTTTCCTCTCACTCTTCGTTGCTGGTATGTCTAAATATGCATCTTGTACACAATATAATATTTGAACACCATGCAGACAACATTTGTTTTAACGTTTGTGTATATCTATCATTCGTTAAGTTGGCTATCCCACCCGCCATATATGTATTATCAAAGGGGATTGGTACTTGTATATCTTACATCTGAAAACATAGTTTGCTGTTTAGAATTTATGGATCAGAAAAACGTTATTCGGGGCATCTTTATTTATTATTTATGTACGGTGGGAGATATTTACGTTAGAAAAATGCCTCCTGTTATTTTGTTTGATCAGTTGAACATGCTTATTGATGATCGATTATAAAATAAATATAATACTGAACTGAAAATAAAGTATCGGAGCAACTACTACATGATTTCATCGTAATAATGGTTGTAATATAATATCATAATTATATTTCTTAAATAAATAATAGTATTCTTCGTCCTCGATAAAAAATACAAAAAACATCAAAATAGTTATATTTCAACTGCCTTTCATATATTAGCACACAAACAGTGCTAACTGTCAAATATGCATTAAGGTAAACACTTGCTTTGTTATATTGATATATAAATGTTATTAGCGTGACAGTCTTAATAACATCACAACGAGTCTCTCCTCATGCCCAGTTGACTCCACTAACAGTGTTAACATCGCCATAAGGGGCGTCACTAGTAGGACAATGCGGAGGTGTTTCTTGTGATATGGCTATCTGGCTGATACATGATATAACATACGTGTGTAACCTTATACAGATTGATGTCAGTAGGTACGAAGTCTAGAAGTTTAATCAGGGTCTGACTGAATGCATGTGTGTAACGGAGTATCGGATGAAGTGTTTTACAGAGCTGAACAAGAAACGCCGATTTAATAGAAGAAAATGTGATACACGCTAGAGATTTTTTATTTGGGCTCTTACCGCCTCCGTGGTCTAGTGGTAGAGCGTCCGCCCGGAGAGCGGAAGGTCCGGGGTTCGATCCCGGGCCGCGTCATACAAAAAGACGTTAAATGATTGTACTTGTTGTTACCCTGTCTGGCGCTCGGCATTAAGGGGCTAAAACAAGGACTGGTCGGCTCGGAGTCAGTATACTGTGTCTGAGTGGGGTATTCATGTTAAACTGCGGCATGGTATCTCAGTGAGCTAGCACTATAAATCGGCATCAGTCCGGACTCGTACAAGCAGCCACACACACACATACATACACGTGCATGCACGTCGCTATATAAGTGCAATAATCTTGGACGCGACGTTAAACCCAATTTCACCTCACCTCACCTTATTTGGGCTCTTACGGTGTTTAAGCCTCAATCAATATGGCCAATGCCTCAAGTTAATCAAAACAGGAAAATTCTCTGTGGCATTCAATACATAGCTAACCTGACTGATTGAGTTGACCTGACCTGACCTGAGTGAGTTCAAACAAAATGTAGAACTTCGATCAAATCACGGCGAGTCGGGTTAGCGTAAGTGGGAAGGTGTAGGTCGATGGCTTGAACAATGCTAGAGATATGATGAGTACAAACAAACAAGCATATCATCGGTGGATTGTGAGACTCGAACCCTTAACCTGCGGGGAGCTCTGGTAACTAAGGGTCCAGCTTAGACATAACAGGGCTTTAAATTACAATGGTGTGTCACAATCTTTCATGATCTACATATAACTTCCCTTTGATGGTAATACATCCGAATGACCGTAATGTGTTGTCTGGTTCACACAGATGTGTTCAAAACGTTTTATGGTAGACATGTGGAGGGCATGTCGAAATTTGACGCATCAGTGATCAAAATGATATCCGATGCAATACCCTATTTTGACTGGTACGATTTAATGCCGTGTTTTCAGGTGAGCAATTGACAGGCCTCTGTATGTGATTGTGACTGATGTCATCAGTAGGGTGGGATATGCGAACACCTGGTATTATTACTATTTGATAGTGATTCATTGATGTATTCTTATGATGGAATCGGAATTGCACTGTAGAATCTGCTTTTAGCAGCGATTTCTCATGAATATGGAAAGGGTTTCGTCTCTTTCATATATTGTAGTGAGTGATTTCATTTAATGATGGCTATAGGGTAATGCTAGTACCCTTCCACCTCACACGAGACCACCTCCATGGTCTAGTGGTAGAGCGTCCGCCCGGAGAGCGGAAGGTCCGGGGTTCGATCCCCAGCCGCGTCATACCAAAAGACGTTAAAAGATGGTACTTGTTGTGACCCTGTCTGGCGCTCTGCATTAAGGGGCTAAAACAAGGACTGGTCTGCTCGGAGTCAGTATACTGTGTCTGAGTGGGGTATTCATGTTAAACTGCGGCAAGGTATCTCAGTGTGATAGCACTATAAATCGGCATCAGTTCGGACTAGTACAAACAGCCACACACACACACAGACACGTGCGTGCACGTCACTATATAAGTGCAATAATCTTGGACGCGACGTTAAACCCCTTTTCACCTCACCTCACCACCTCACATGACACATACAGGAACCGTTTCCAGTTCCACTCGCAATAGGTCCATTTGAATAGCATCCTCTTGTATATGGAAGTGTGTGTGTTGCCGATTATGCAAGTTCAGACAGAGTAAGTGTTTGTTTGATGTTTGTTAGCCGCAATCCATATTAATCTGTGATTCGAACCCTCGATCAGCAGATCCTTGCACAACCAAGGGGCCAAATCTGCACAACTACATTCGTTGTCGTAAAACTGATTACGTCCACGTTAATGGTATCACGTATATATTGTTGCTAGTGTTTTATAGAACTTCAGTGACGTCTTGCAACCAAGTCACTCGAAAGTGTGCTAAAATGATTAAAAACCCAGTGATTTTTATATTCATTTAAGCAAAGACTGAAGGATATATTTTGTCAACAGTGGCACCAAAGTACTTCTGAATCACTTCATCTCAGCAATTACAGCAAAGTAAAATCATTGTTACAAACTGAAAGATATTTAACCTGTTCAAATGATAACATGATCAGAGCTTATTGTAAACTTAGAATTGCATTGCATAATTTTAATGTAAATATATGTCGCAGGTCCAAAGACGGTGATATTGTGAACTCTATTTGTACAAACTGTTCATCCGGAGAAGTAGAGAATGAATACCATGTCTTACTTATATGTGAAACGTATTCCCATTTAAGGTTTAAATTTCTCCCCATGTTGCAAGGTACTTTTAAAGACCGTCATTTAATAATAAATCTGCTAAACTCTGAAAATCCTGTTTCTGTATTCTTAAAACATGTCTTTAAAATGAGGAATGTGTAACTTGATTTAAAATCTGATTATGTACATCACGTGACAATGGTAATATCCAATCTGCATTGTACTATGGGCCTTGATGCTTAAAATACTGAATAAACTGTCTGTCTGTCTGTCTGTAAATTATCTGGGGGTTTTATGTTTCAGGAACGACAGCTGAGACATGCTACGGTGATTACTCAAACATCTATTGCATGTTCGGATGCTGCTCTGACACATTTGTGATATATTGTTGTCTGAGTAATGGGTACGTATGATAATACCTAAGGTTAAAAACCTGAACCATGTCTGTATTTCAAATAAAGCTGATGCAGGGGTATTGAAATATTCTTGTGTTTCGGTATCGTGGCGAGAATGTACAAAATGGTTTGTTTGAATTTTGTTTAATCCCGCACCGAGTAATATAGCTGGAGAATTAACCGATACGATTTAGTTGGACTATTTGCCGCTGTTAGTTCGATGGAATATCGGCAGCTATGATATAACTAGAAATATTTACTGCCGTGATTTAACTGGAATATTTACTGAAGAGATTTAGCTGGAATATTCATTGCCGTGATTACATGGATTATTCATTGTCGTGATTTAGCTGGAATATTTAATTTGTTGCCGTGATTTAGCTGGAATATGAACTGCCGTTATTTTGCTGGATTTTTCACCGCTGTGATTTAACTGGAATATTCACTGCCGTGATTTAGGTGGAATATTAACTGCCGTGATTTAGCTGGATTTTTCACTGCCGTGATTTAGCTGGAATATTTACTGCCGTGATTTAGCTGGAATATTAACTGCCGTAATTTAGCTGGATTTTTCACTGCCGTGATTTAACTGGAATATTCACTGCCGTGATTTAGCTGGAATATTTGTTGCCGTGATTTAGCTGGAATATTCACTGCCGTGATTTAGCTGGAATATTTGTTGTTGTGATCAAGCTGGAATGTCGGCCGCCGTGAATTATCTGGACTATTTGTTTTGCAATTTAGCTGGAATGTCGGCCCTAGTGATGTTGTGAAATATTTACTGCCATGATTTAGCTGATGTATGTTAGAACAGTCGGTGATAAAAATATAGTTAACACAACCATCTTCTAACGCTTTTGGTATGACGCATCCGGGAATCGAAACACCAACCTTCCTCTCTCCGGGTAAACGCTCTCTCTGCTTCACCACTGAGACTGTGAATATACTGAATAAAGACAGAATAGAATGAATGACAGATTAACTACAGTCGCCCGAAAGAATGCTGTCACTCCTTAAACACAACACATGAGGTGAGGTGAGGTGAAATTGGGTTTAACGTCGCTTCCAAGATTATTGCACTTATGTAGCTACGTGCATGCACGTGTGTGTGTTTGTGTGGCTGTTTGTACTATTCCGGACAGGGTAACAACAAGTACCATCTTTTAACGTCTTTTGGTATGACGCGGCCGGGGATCGAACCCCGGACCTTCCGCTCTCCGGGCGGACGCTCTACAACTAGACCACGGAGGCGGTCCACAACACATGGAAGTTTCAGGGGAATTTTCCTTTGATAACAGGTCAACTTTTGGTCAAAATATTTCGAAGAAAACCGGGACGATGTATTAACGCCTGATGGACGAGCGAGCATGTGTGGTTTAACACCGTTTTGAACAGTATTTCAGTTATATCAGGGCATGCCAGCTTGATTTGGGACGAAAACCAGAAGTGATGCAGACCTTAGCCGTTTTCCACTTTGGTGAAACCCATTGACACTGGCAGTGGTGACTGACCTCGAAACATGATCAGGTAGAACCTGGGTTCAACCCATGATCATAGGTTTCTAGCACGCTTAAGATGTTGGATACCATAGTTCGTGCGCACCTCTGTTCGCGCCGTTGCACGCGAGTTTACTGTGACGAATTACCTCCCTTGACGCTCCCTGTCCTCTACATAATTGGTGGTAGAAGCAACATGTCCGTTAATGATTGTGGAAACCTGAAACATGACAGATTGTACCTTCGCTATTCTTCCCAAACATGAGCCGATAAGTAATAAAAAATAACTGTTCCAATGCATCTCTGAATTTTTAGATTCATTGGGAAAACAATGTGTAGAGTTCCTACACATTATTTAATAACTTGGTACATTATAGTTTCCTCCCTGAACGAGAAGCAAAGCTATTAATGGTTAATTAATTTCTATTAATGGATAAAGAGAAAGCATTGTAGAACATCAAACCTGCCTATTATGTTATATCTGAACAATACTCAATGACAAGCATAATATGTGATTGATTATATCTCGATAATGAGTTATCTCCCTTTTCAGGTATCAGGATTATCACCCCTAGCTTTCTTTGGGCATGCAAATACTCAATATTTTGCGTGGATTCCTACAGATTGTTTTTCTAAATTTATGTTGATTGGTGGATATTGTACGTTATGCGTGAAAATGGTCACTCTGTAGTGGGTTTGAGCTTCTAAATAACTATTTACATGAGTACTTGCTCCTTTGATACCCGAGCCACATTAAATATGTTGCTGTTTTCCCTCGATTGTTTCTATTTTTGGTCCTTTTTTCACCGTACGTGTATGTAGTTAACAAACATAAATAGTAATAAATACTACAAAGTAAGTTTAATTACAGTATTAGGTTAATGTATTTCAAGGAGTCAGCTTAAGTAATATTTTACAGTGATGTTAAATCATGTCATTTGAGGCCTACCCCACCATACGTGGGTGCCACCTACAACAAAATATAGCATGGAAAGGTATTGTGTTTTTTTAATTAGGTACTAGTATACTATACACTATCTTCATGTTACATCTCAGAGCGTTGAAGTTGGTTTCACTTGTTGTGTCCAACGTCTTTAAGGACGCAAATTTGCAGCTTACATAGGATTAAAGAACTATGGAATACCACATGAACATAAATAATTGTTTATTTTAGCAAACTTTAAACCTATCATAATTGATCTTGCTAATATTGTATCGCAGCTTCGTGTGAATAATATGCCATGTACAGTTGATATGAAAATACGAAGGAGCAGAGCTGGGTATACGTCTTAAAGGAGAATACATTTTTTATTTTTCCAGAGCTGGAATCGGCATCATCATTGGAGTAATCATCTTCTTTGCCGCCATTGCGGGCCTCATATGCCGACGTCGCTACGTTGCGAGAACAACATATGCCCAAGGGTCACCTGGGGTATCAGTTGTGCAAACATCGACAGGTACTGACATATATCACGGTTATATGAACTGCTGCCAGGTGAGCTTAACCTGTCTTTTAGCTCACCAGGTTAAATATACTCAGCCAAAAACGGAAAGGTGGAGGGGATCCTCCATGCTACTTTGACGTTATTCTACATCGTATTTCTTGGGTAGGTGGAGGGGATCCTCCATGCTACTTTGACTCAATATATTTTCTTCATAAATATTGGTCAACGAAATCGATCACAGATGCAAACACACCATCTTACAACACAATTCCTAGTGCTTATTGATGTTTGACACCAATAGTCCGGATGCCGTGCCAACACAACCATGTGCCATATGGTGAGAAAATCACATGGGACAAGACATTTCGAATTTCAGCCCAACCAAACAGTTCAGTACGTTGTGTGTCCATCTCCATCTTCCCGAGGCAAGAGAGTTAACTGCCTATAAAAGTCCAGTTTCCACCCTTGCCGAACTAGGCTGGAATTCCTGGTCTCGGTCGTAGCGCCACCAGTGGTTATTACGAGTTACGTCCCTTCTAAGCCTCTCCTATGGACCAATCCGATTCCATCACTTGCATTTGTTACAAACATAATGGCGGCGCCCAGTCAAGACGATCTGATCGATAAAAAAGATCTATATTGTGAAAAAACGGGGCTTACATCGCGAAGTGCATCAAATCATGCTAGCACCTTGATTAAAAACGAAAAGGTTTGGAAAATATCTGTTGACAATGAGTTGGCGGTGCACATGCTTTGCAAATCCTGCAATCGACCGAAATCTGCACGACAGTTTACGATCCGGATTTCGATTTCGTTGCGCGATCTTGATTGGACTGCATAGACAAGTTAGTCCAGCCAAAATTCCATAACACCAGCCGAATTCGGCAAGGGTGGAAACTGGACTTTTAAAGTCAGTTAACTCACTTGCCTCGGGAAGATGGTCCATCTCTAGTGTTTATACAAGGTCGTCTCATCTACCCAATTCCGATTGGGACATATTGCTGTCGTAACATTAAATTGTGCGACGTCAAAAACAGATCATTATGCTTCAAACACACCTCATGTCCTGTCGCGTTCACTTTGCGTGTTTCTTGACATTATCCCTCTCAGCGGTGGCAAACGTTTCTTGGTGTTGATATTCATACACACTTCAACAATCCACAATCCATGATAACAATGTGATCGAATTATGAGATGCGATTTCCAATATTTTCACCTTCTTCTATCCAGGATCCTACACGCAACATACATGATTATCCCGTGCATAGTGATTGTTTAGTTCAGGAAACATACGACAATACCCATCCATGTTCTAGTAGTGTATACCTTCCTTTTTGGTTGTGTTTATGTTTTACGGCCAAGTCTGTTGAAATGTATAGCTAAAAAGGACTTATGAATTGTTATCGTGTTGTCCTGAGATACTGTAGTTTTAAGATATACTAGGAAGTCAAAATGTGATTTTTCACCCATAAGGTCACGTAACTCATGTCACATATTCAATGCACCATGATATACCCAATACAACATAGTAAACAACATATGTTATGAATGCAATTGTATTATTCATACAGTCGAACCTCTTTGTGTCGAACCCGTGGGGACCTGGAAAAAGTTCGACTTATCCGGGGTTCGAGACATCAGGGGAATTTATGCTTATTTTGGACACTTGGGTCTCGCAAATGAGTTCGAGACAACCGGTAATTCGACACATGTATATAGTAGTTTTATCAACGGCGTGTAAATACACTGTTCGAGTGAAATGTCCATATATCTCAACTTGCCAGATGACTCACATCCATCGGGAACACCAACTTTATACTTATTGTGGGAACGTAGCTTGTAGCTTGAAAGGTGCTTTAAAGTAATTCGTTCCTGCCAGGTGACCTCATTGACATAATTATTGAATCGAGATTATTGCAAGGTCCGTTCTGAGTGTTATGGACACACTTGTCAGAGAGGCGCACACCCGACAAAGAAGACACAATTTACAAATAACAACTTCTTTTTTTTTAATGTTATGGTGACGTAACGGTATAGATCCTTATACCGTTGTCAAACAACCTTCAGGTAGTGATCATAATACCGTTGTCAAGCAACGTTGCTTGAATAATATACATAAATTGTAAAATACAGTTGTTTTTCCATAAATAATGTCTACTTTGTCATCCGTCAACTTCTAAGAAATGTCTATCAAACACTTCATGCACAAAGCACGTGATCTAGACAACCAGTTATCGGGCTTCCATGCTTGTGGGTTAGGTCGCTGACGTAACTTGCTAGCGATAAGGTGCTGTATTCGTGGGTAAGAGTAAGAGTGTGGGTTCGTAAACCGGGTTTTACTCCACACTAAATTGTACTACAATTTGTACTTTACTGAGTGTAATCCATATGTAACATGTGTTACAGTTCCTCATACAACTTATAGGCGTGGTGAAACTTGTAATGTCGTCTATATATCAATATAGTTGACATTATGTGCTGTCAACATAACCTGTTCACTCTAACATCAACTGCAAACATTGTGTCTTGTGTAATGCTTCTCGACAGGAGTTCTCATGAGTGGTTATATGCATTTAAATAGTTGTACAGTTGACGTGTGTATGAGCACACGGTGATTGATTGTTTGATAAAGTGGTACAGATGACAAGCGTATGATAAGGCCCATCCCTTGGTTAGTATGTCCCGATAGAGTTGTATCGTTGGCCTGTTTACGGTGAGGACTGTGTAGCTCACCTGGTTAAAAGTAGTGAGGTTGTGTCACTGAAGCTCATCTGGCTGTTCTGATATTATTGTTAACATGACATACAGACAGCGTGTCGCTCGACGTCAGACAGGTTGATAATATCTAAAGTAATGTTTCTCCTTTTTCAGCTCAAGCTAACATGGGGTATATCCAGGCGCCTCCTCCATATACTGTGGCGCCAAAGGCCTACTGATCAGCATATTCCCCCAGTACATATCACCAGCATATGTTTGACAGTTGGAGAAATGCCTATTGCATTACGAAAGATCGAAGGATTTCAAGAAATTTGGAATGAACTATTTTTGTCTTTAAAGACATCCTGTGACAACAATGGGTGTTATTAATAAAATTTGAATTAAATTTAAAAAAAGTTTTCCCTTACAATTCAAGGTTGAGAGATTGAATTGGTTTTTATTTCACTTTAATCAACTCACCAGAAAATGATAAGCTCAATTAAGTCAGATGCAAGTAGATCGCAGTGCTTCGATATGCTACTTACTGCATGAGGCAAAGCCATGAAATTGTGATCAATACAAAATGGCATGTTTCTGGTGAGAAACAACAGGACAAAATATCGTATGTAGAAAATCTCTTTCAATATTATCTGTAACTGTGTAAAAGTATGTTTTGATGTATTTTCAGCATGAAATTGAATAAAGATGTAAACTAACATATTATTATTTCTAATTATTTCTGTGAAGTGTTGTTCTGAATGTATTTGCATGTAAATGGACAAGTTTGTTTTCCGCATTTGTCTCTCAAGGTTACGACGTTACAGATGTCCTCATTATTGACTTCAGTGGAACAAGTTTTACATCTCGTGTCCACATCATCTTGTTTGAGATTTTAGACTATTGTCAAACAGCTACCTTGAAACAGTCAACATCAATTATAATGATTATTCCACTTTCTACAACTAACTACTACCTTTAATTTTGATAGTTAACGTTAACCAGTTTGGTTAAACCGACGAACACATTTACGGTGGTGATCCAAGGGTCATAATCTGGGCGAATCTGGATTGACACCAACGATGATGAGATCCTGGCATGACTAAGGGTCACAACTCTCACAGACTACTAGTCACCTCATAACCTCATTACCTTACATCGTTGACAGACCTGTGAAGATCCGGGGTAGAATAGGTCTTCAGCAACCTGTGCTTACCATAAAAGGCGACTATGCTTGTCGTAAGAGGCGACTAACGGGATCGGGGGGTCATGCCTTCACCGGTTTATATGCTTGGGATACGTGTCAAGTATTTCCTGAAGTCACCATTGCTTTCCCATCATCAGCAGATATCTCTGACAACACAATGCAGATTCTTGAGCGGTTTGTCGTTCTCACGGGTTTATTTGGAAGGTCAATGAAAGGCAAAATCTTTCTTCATGAAGATCTCGGACAGTTGACAACCTTTCAACCCAAAGAGGTAGCTCTGAGACAGCACCAATGCATGTATAGGGACATGTGCGTGACAAACGTCCCACACTACTGAATCTTGTAGTCAGGGGTTGGGAGAGGACACACAGTAATATATGGAAACCCAAGTGGACAACACGACGTCAGGCACAAGGAAATAAACAAAGTTATAAACTAACACTACACCTGAACGAAGTCTTGTAAACCTTTGTAAACTCTACACTGCGGTCTTGAGTACTGTGCTATGTGATACATTGAAGGACAGTGTCCATTGTAACTGAATTATGCAATCGTAAACACATACATTGAACCGATATTCCTGGTCATACTTAAGTTAGTTGATATCATAGGTCAATAATGTCAATAATATTTATGCATACATTCCTGTTTTAAATATATGAATCCATTCCCAGATGATTACGACTGATTTGGGGTCGATCTATTATAATGGATACAGTTCACGTTATTCAGGAAAAAAATGTTCTCTAGAACACGACATATTAAAAAAACTTAGGTAGAATATTTCTCAGTGAACCATTTATAAAATAATATGCCGAGCCATCATACGCATAGATCATACACTTATATATAGACACTTATATGATCTATTCGTATGGTGGCTCGGCATATTATTTTATTCATAAGAATAGATCATACACTTATATCATACACTTCAAAACTTATCAACTTATCAAGTCCAAAGATGTCAATTGATATCTATATCTGCTGTAGAAATAGACACTTTCTGAAAACTAAAACAATGGAGGCCATCTTGGATTTTCGTCATCAACAGGGGGCGCTGCGTACCAGATTCGAATTATTTAAAGCCTTGTTGCAATAAATCCTGAAAAAGTTACTGTGATAAATTGTAAGAATTGACCAGATAATTATGATATAATGAGTACAGATTAAAGTCATTAGAGATTTCAACCATGTTGGCGGCCATCTTGGACTTTCATCACCAGCAGGGAGGGCTGCGAACTAGATTTGAATAATATACATGATTGATGTTATTACTCCTAAGTACATTACAATGATAATTTGCATAAATTGGCCAGACAACTATGATATATTGAGTATAGATTGATATCATTAGAGATGCCATCCGTGCTGGCGGCCATCTTGGATTTTCTATCACCAGGGGGCGCTGCAAACTATATTTGAATTATATACAGCTCTGCTGCAATTCATGCATTACTTTGGACATATGTATAAATGGATCAGATAAGTATGATATATCGAGTATATATTGATATCATCAGAGAATTTAACCATGTTGGCGGCCATCTTGGATTTTCTACCATCAGGGGGCTCTGCTGAGGTGGATCCATTTAAAAAATGTTCGGAATGGTTCAGTGTATAAGTGTGCCAATTTTGGTGCCTTTAACCCAAAGTGCACAATTTAAGCCTAAACCGCCCCACTGAGTGTCCCTATTTCGTTTTGAAAATCCGTAAATAAGAAAATCTTACTTTTTTCTAAATACAACATAATAATATCAGTATCTGTGGAATGCTTATTTTATTTGCCTGTTAATGAAAACGTAATGGATTTTTTCAATATTTTCAGTAGAATATTCAGCATTTAGTTGAACTGTATAGAGAAAAACTTATCAAATACGAAAATGTATTTTCAAGCTTAAAATGCACCAGCAATGGTCTATTCTGAACCGACACAATGCCTCGAGGATTAAATTCTAGACCGTTAATGTCCAACGAGTGTAACACACGTTTCTATTGGTTTATTTCATGCCAGGGTACAACATGAACTTGTGGAGGAAAAAGCATGGCAATTGTCGCATTTTATTGTCATAACCGTTCACTTATCCATGGCCCATTTCATTATCTCTATCTTTATCATAGCCAAGGGATTAGATATTGAATATCGTACCATGATCCATTTCGACATATTTATCTTTATAATAGCCAGATCAGATAACTGATCATGAATACAATTTACCAGTCTACGTCCTGTTACCATGACGGTTGGAAGTATATTGGCTGCTTTCCTCTCTCTGTTCGTTGTTGGTATGTATTAAGATGCACAGATGCACAGATGCACAGAAAATGATGCACTATATAAACCAATAATTGTTCATCTGTCTACTCACCCTACTATATGCATCATCAATATTCATTGAGAGACGTTAATGGGCGTTAGGAATGAATGTTTTATTTTTATCTGAAATAAGTCTGAACGCTAAGTCTTCTATTTTGGGGCATCTTGCGTCGTTACTTTCGCGCAGTGGAATGCTTTTATGCCAGAGAAGCGTCTGTTTTTATTTTGGAACGCTTTTTTCTCCGTTCTATTTCTTCTTCACATGTGGTTGTTCTGAATGCATTTGCTATCATAAAAAAATCGAATTGACTTCCGCAGTGGTCTCTAAAGAGTTCCACGTTGCAAATGTCCTAAATGTCCAACATTTAGCGTAATGTTAAATACAAAACTTCAACGGCAGCAAATAACCAGTCTTGATAATCAACTGAATCTGATTCAATTTGGAGTAAAAGCCAAAACAGCGGTGAAAATGTTATAAATGGATCGCTAAATATCACTGATGACAACAGGGCCCACTTGCACAAAACGATCTTAGCGCTACAACTGTTATAAGTGTATGTTAAAGCATGGGTGTTAAGATCATCTTAGCGCTAAGATCGCTTTGTGCAATTGGGCCCAGGTGTCAATTACAGGGGAGCAGCCATCTTAAATTGTCGTCAAAACTTTAACTTCCGGAAAATAAGTTACTGGGTAATATAGAAAATACATCCTATATTTGAATCTGGTAATAAACATGATGTCATGTGTGTCATACTGGCTTTTACGAAACGAGAGTCAGAATTCGTGTACTTCCCGAGCGAGAGCGCGGGTAATACATGAATGGTAATATGGTCACTAATTAGTGATAGATGGGTTGTCGGTGATCAGATATCAGTTCGCTGTATCCGTTAGTTCGCTGTAGAGAGTTCGTTGTATACGTAAATTTTATATGATATTATATAGGAGATAAATTTGGGATTTTTTAACAGTTCGTAATATCCGTTTGTTCGCTATATCCGTGTTCGTTATATCCGTGTTCTACTGTACATGAATTCTTACACGAGTTTCGAAAATAATAATTTCTTTCTTACCCAGTATTTCTCAATCCTTTTTGATCCCCTTTTAAAAAAATACACTGTTCACCAGGGCTGTCCAAGAAATTTGTCGAATTTGTCTTCAGCTTTGTCGTTTCAAGTGTGACGTCATTCCGTCATTACGTCACAGGGACATTCGAATGACGCCAACAATTGAGGCCGGATGACGATAACAATGCACTGGTGAGCAGGAAGTGGCATTTGCACTAGTGCACATACGATTTGTATGAACACTGTGGGTAATAAAATAATTACAGTGGTATATCTCATGGATACTTTATGAAAAATGTTCACTTCTGTTTTAAATAAGGCTTCGAAGAGGGTGTGAATTAAACAACATAATAAGTGAGGCTCAAGCTGGCTTTGGAACAAACTATTTAACAACGCATTACATGTTTACACCGCAAGTTGTAATTCACAAGTAGGAAATTCATGTTAGGGAACGGACGACTTAAACCGCTTCTTCAAAAAGTTCTCCAAATTGTTTGACACACTGACACATGATGTTCTATTAAATCAAAGTTGGGATATCTGGAAGGTAAACAATATTATTTCCTCAATTTATTCACATTTAAAGGGCAAGTTCACACGGAAATGAACCTATTTTTCTTGTAGTGAGTGAGTGAGTGAGGTTTTACGCCGCTTTTAGCAATATTCCAGCAATATCACGGCGGGGGACACCAGAAATGGGCTTCACACATTGTACCCATGTCGGGAATCGAACCAGGGTCTTCGGCGTGACGAGCGAACGCTTTAACCACTAGGCTACCCGACCGCCCCTATTTTTCTTGTACTTTTTCCACATTAAAAGTGTTAACCTAGTAGTGTCATAGACAAAAATATAAAAATATCACAATTAATTAACATATGTTTTGCATTAAAACGATTTATATTTTTCACATTTACCAAGTGTTCTATTTTCATAACAAAAACACCAACGCTTATGCCCCTTGCAATATGACGTCATTGGTGCCAATTAATAAACATTATGACGTCATCATGCTATGTTAGAGCCGCTTCACGTGGTGTAGGTACAGGTGTGTGATTCTAGCGTCTCAGAGACCAGCCAGCATAGTGTTATGCTGAGTCACCACTGCGCCGGAGTGTGTCGTAGGCCATGTTATTTTACCGAAAACTGGTACTTGATAACTTTCGCGTTGAGAATATACAGGGATCCTGTTGAATTGGCACCAATTACGTCATAATCTAAGGGGGATAACCCAGGCCTGTTTAGCTCGAAAAACGAAGGCCTCATAACGGCATATCATTTTCACACTATTGTGAGCCTCCTACTTTCACTGTGAAAAAAATGAGTTTACCTTTTCAAACACAGATATTAACTTATTCTAAAATTGCGTTTTGTTTAGAAAAAGAAAGAAAGAGATGTTTGCGTGTACACTTCCCCTTTAACAACCTGAGAGCGGAAGGTTCGGGGCTCGATCCTCGACCGCGTCATACCAAAAGACGTTAAAAGATGGTACTTGCTGTTACCCTGTCTGGCTCTCGGCATTAAGGGGCTAAAACAAGGAATGTCGGCTCGGAGTCCGTATACTGTGTCTAAGTAGAGTATTCATGTTAAACTGCGACATTATATCTCAGTGGGCTAGCACTATAAAATCGGCATTAGTCCGAACTAGTACAAGCAGTCACACACACACGTGCATGCACGTCGCTATATAAGTGCGGGGACACGGTTGGCCCAGTCGTCTAAGGCGCCCCGATTCGCTGTGCAGGGTTGCATCCCTTGGGCACGTCAGAAACCTATGATTGTGGGTTCGAATCCCGGTTCGCCCCGATTATGTTTCTTGGTTTGTCAGCACCATACCCGTGCTCGTGGGTTTCACCGAAGTGGTAAACGTCTGAGACCTGCATCACTTCGGGCTTTCCTCCAACATTAAGCTGACACGCCGCGATATAACTGGAATACTGTTAAAAGCGGCGTTAAACCCAACCCGAAGTGATGCAGGTCTCAGACGTTTACCACTTTGGTGAAACCAACGAGCACGGATATGGTGCTGACAAACCTAGAAACATAATTGGGGCGAACCGGGATTCGAACCCACAATCGTAGGTTTCTGGCGTGCCCAAGGGACGCAACTCTGCATACCGAATCGCGGCGCCTTAGACGACTGGGCCACCCGTGCCCCCGGTTAGAAACGTAATGTCGTGTTATACACTTGTGACACTGTGTATTTACTGATATAACCGACTTGCGAAAGAGGACTGAAGTGGCGCGTTCTCGCCCAGAGACAATGCAGGGGCGTTACTGGAGGCCAGTGTATCTGGGTTAAACACGATAATACAAATGTGTAGCTCGATATGGATAAATCACTTGAAGTACGAAGCACGAAGGTCATAAGGTACATCCGGATTTAAGAGGGTGTATCAAGATAGCTGTTTTACGGGTCTATTATAGCAAGGTCTACCAAGAAGAAAGAATTACACGCTTAAAAAAGTTTACTTTCGCTCGTAGAAATAATTATTTGTACAATCATCAGAAATCTGGTCACAGGTATACGCAGTAAAGAAAGCTGCAAAAACCTTTCCACAATCATGCTAAAATCCCATTGTACAATTCCGACTACATCATAAGCATATGTTTATGGTTCGCTGTTAACAAGTGTTGATACCAGGTGTTCGCTAAGGGCGAGCGAATCCTGCCACACTGGTTGCACAAACACATGCAAAGGCGTGTCAATTGTTTACCCGAACAAACAAGGGAGCATATGGTACAAGTCAAATGAGTGAATTGCTTCGGACATTATTTGATCGGTGATGCGTCAAATCTGGAAATTTCCACATGTTTACCATGGAACCTTTTGAAAGCTTTACAAAGGCCCTGAATGTACCCAAGATCAAACAACGTCTGACCAAGAGTCGTGTGACGCACTTTGAAATCTTCAAAGAAAGATTATGCTCGATTGTACCTCAAAAGTAAACACCAAAGGCTGGAGCTGCTGGAATATTATTCATCTAGGGAAATAGACTTCTGGAAAGTTGAATCCGTCAACTTTGAGACGTCCGAACTGGTGCGTTTAAGTTTATGTGCCAAGAGCCTACAGTCAGTCAAAACTTGTCGGGGACGGAGTATTAAGCTTCATTTTGACCCACGGAAAAAATTGTTATGAAAGTTATTTAACAGCGCATAATGAACTAGATTTCATCATAGGATCACATCTCATACTGTGAGATTAACTAAAACGGTCCTTCTCATATCTCATCACTTACGAGAAGTGTTCTATAAGAGTCTAATCTGACCGAGCGATTTAGATGTGTTTGACATCACTATCGCTCCTGCTGTTGGTTCTAAACGAAATTCAAAGGCATCGAATACTCAATAACGCCCGCAAGTCTTAAAAGACAATATTTTCTCCTTAGCATATTGACAGCAATCAATATTTAGGTGATGAATGATATTATTTGATATAAACTTTTGACATGAAACATGGAGGGAGGACGGTCAACTGTACATCATTTTATCTCCACGTTGCAACATTAACATAACCTGTGTTCTGTCCCTGTGTCGAGAGCTTATTCAAGTGAACTTTATCAGGGTATTATTGTCAAAGCCTGAGGACAAATTAATATTATTAATATTATTATATTATTAATATTCTGGAATAACATCCAAATTATCAAAAGGTCAGTCGCTTTAGGGTGTACATTAAAGTAACATTAGTATAATCAAGTGTAAGTTTGCAATATTTCAATGTGTCACATGAACAGGGAGAGTGAGTGAGTATGGTTTTACGCCGCTTTTAGCAATATTCCGGCAATATCACGGCGGGGGACGCCAGAAATGGGCTTCACACATTGTACCCATGTCGGGAATCGAACCCGGGTCTTCGGCGTGACGAGCGAACGCTTTAACCACTGGCCTACCCGACCGCCCCACTGCCGGTTAGAGCCCACCACTCGCACAATTTGTATAAAAAAATAATTGTTCGTTGTCTCACGTCGAACAGTGATAGACCAGAAACTCCAGTTACACGATGGCGCATTAACTGATTTTGTTGAAACTTGTGAGTGAGTGAATGAGTAAGGATGAATACCAAATGTGTTGTGTATTCTATTAGAATACACCGCAGAGTTAAAGTATACAATACAACAAATACATCCGGGAGGTACCATTCACAATGTAACCGTCCGGATTTAATATTTCCCAATATAATCACTCATGTACGGAAACGTAGTAGGGTCTCGGTGAATTTTTTTTTATCCCCTACGTAGGACTTATAATATTCTACGTAGGACTTATTATCTCCTACGTAGGAGATAGTGATTCTAGGCCATACTGTGTCCTACGTAGAAGATAGTATGTCCTACGTAGGAGATAGTAAGTCCTACGTAGGATATAATAAGTCCTACGTAGAAGATAGTAAGTCCTACGGAGATACTAAGTCCTACGGAGATACTAAGCCCTACGTAGGAGATGGTAAGTCCTACGTAGGAGATAGTAAGTCCTACGGAGATACTAAGCCCTACGTAGGAGATAGTGATTCTAGGCCATACTGAGTCCTACGTAGAAGATAGTATGTCCTACGTTGGAGATAGTAAGTCCTACGTAGGATATAATAAGTCCTACGTAGAAGATACTAAGTCCTACGTAGGCGATACTAAGTCCTACGTAGGAGATAGTAAGTCCTACGGAGATACTTAGCCCTACGTAGGAGATAGTAAGTCCTACGGAGATACTAAGCCCTACGTAGGAGATACTAAGCCCTACGTAGGAGATACTAAGCCCTACGTAGGAGATAATAAGTCCTACGTAAGAGATACTAAGACAAAAAAAAAATCACAGTGGTCCTTCTACGCTTCCGTACTCATGAATAGCAATGTATGTGAAATTCTATAGAGGAAACAGAATAGATACAAGCAGATTTATTTCGGAATAAGGAGACGTATCATATCTTGGTAAACTCTAATGTTTCATGCAATACGCATTGTTTACTATGATTCACGGAAGTGATTTGTGGTTGGAATCGTGCTGACAATACCAATACTGTTCAGAGTACATTGAGGCTAAAATGATAAGCATCTGTCTGTGTTTTTGTGATGCATTCTTGTATTAAGTGCTTATGTATATTCAATGGTTTTGGAAACAGTGTCTATATTACCTGAATGTTTTGGTACAGGAACGGCAGCGGAAACATGCTACGGCGCAACTGAGAACATCTACTGCATGTTCGGATGCTGCAGTGACACATTATTTGTGTACTGTTGTGTCAGTAATGGGTATGTATTCTTATACAGAAAATAATGAGCGTATATTGTGTGTCGATGTAAATGCCAGAAAGAAATGTGTATTTCATCTAACAGATAATTAGTATAACTATATCGTGAAAGTATTGTCGCGCAAGACAATAACACCAAAGAACTGAATAAAACCGGCACGCTCTTGAATTTCATCTCGTTTCACGTACGATAGATATTCGATTGGTAAATGCTTTAACGTCGCGTGTGGCTGCTTGCACTTGTCCGAACTAATGCTGATTTATAGTGCTAGCTCACTGATCATGAGACACCATGTCGCAGTTTAACATGAATACCCCACTCAGACACAGTATACTGACTCCGAGCCAACCAGTCCTTGTTTTAGCCCCTTTTGACCTATACAGTTAGGTCTTTTAAGAAATGAGCAGATCTAGAACTTGCTGAAAACGTTACGGAAGACAACATATGTTCATATGAATGAAAATTTCATTTCAAAACTAACATGTCTTAAATTGATAGTACATTTAAGTCAGTGAGTGAGTTTGGTTTTATGCTGCTTTTAGCAATATGCCAGCAGTATGACGGCGGGGGACACCAGAAATGGGCTTCATTGCACCCATGTCGGGAATCGAACCCGGATCTTCGGCGTGACGGGCGCACGATTTAACCACGAGCCTACCCGACCACCCCTGCTCTAAATTTAAGCGTAAAGGTGTTGCTAATTGTGGCCTAAAAGCTGGTTTTGAAGGTTTCAAGGAGCGTTTGAGCATGAGCAAATCTCAAGATGAAAATACTTAAATACAAACATCTGGTAATACTTGCAATGCACGGCGATATGAAAGTGTGCTAGAAATAGGTTGATACCACTATATAAAATGTGTATTTATACTTAATAATCCGACGTAACATACATGTATATTCTCCTATTATCAGAGCTGGAGCCGGCATCATCGTGGGCATCCTCATCTTCATTCTCAGCATAGTCGGCTTCTTCCTACGACGTTACATCTACAGACGGAGAATCCCAGTAGGGGTTGTGCAGTAACATCGCCAGGTACTACATAAAGCATGGTCATATGTCCTGCTGTCAGGTCATGGTAGCTCACCTGGATATTAAACTTGTCATTTCCTGCTGTCAGTTTATAGCTGAATCTTTGCTGATTCGATGTCCATTTTATTGAGTTAGTGAGTGAGTTGGGTTTAACGCCGCTTTTAACAGTATTCCAGTTATATCACGGCGTGTCAGCTTAATGTGGGAGGAAAGCCCAAGTGATGCAGGTCTCGAACGTTTACCACTTCGGTGAAACCCACGGGCATGGGTATGGTGCTGACACACCTAGAAACATAATTGGGTCGAACCAGGATTCGAACCCACAATCAAAGGTTTCTGGCGTGCCCAAGGGACAAGCAACTCTGCACAGCGAATCGCGGCGCCTTAGACGACTGATCACATTAATCAGCACAAGTAACTTAATTAGGGTATCAACCTTATGACAGCAAAGCTAGGCTACCACACTTCTGGTCAGATCAGTGAAGCTCGCCTGTTGATATGCACTGATATAGTTGTAGTATTGGCCTGTTTACGAACAGATCATTGTATATGTAGCTCACCTAGTCCATGTGGTGGTTGTGTTATACTGCTAACGTGTTTAAGACCAGATCCCCGTAACTCATATTTATATGTTCTGATATATCTGTATTATTGGTACGTCTACGGCCTGATATATGCAGGTCACTCTTTATGTATGTTCTGGTAAAGTGACTGAGTGAGTGAGTTTGGTTAAACGCCGCTTTTAACATTAGTCCAGTTATATTGCGGCGTGTCAGCTTAATTAGGGAGAACAGCTCGAAGTGATGCAGGTCTGAGACGTGTACCAGACGACTGGGCCACCCGCCCCCCATGTTCTTGTAAAGTAGTAAAGATGACATGGCTATGACCAGATCCGTCATCTGATTTTATGTACCGTTTTACATAAACCCGAACAAGGGCAATGTCCTTTGAGCTCACCTGGTTAAATATAGACAGGTAGTTATGTGGTTGTATTTTCAGCTAGGCCCATGTAGTTCACCTTGCTGGATATGAATGATTAACATCACATCTTAAGATGTAATGATATGCAAATCGACCGTGTTCGTCACATTGTCTATGGATCTTTCCCTGTTAAATCACTGTTGAATAGTATTCATGATCTATCTTACGAGGTTATCTAGTCAATGAAGTGTTTACAGTAATGTTTTTGTAGCTCACCTGGTAAATATTGACATGAAGTTGTATGGTTGTCGAGTTTGTTTTGTCAGATTCATATAGCTCACCTGACAGTATCGATGTCGTTTTATAGACGGCATAGCTCACCTGGTACTATGTAGTGATATATGTAGATTGGCCGTGAAGCTCCGCTGGTCTTGTGTGATTTATACATGTCCGTGTAACCTAACGCAAAATAGAGGTCGATGGCAATGATATGAAAAGCCCTGTTCTATCTAATTTTTCAGGTCAATCAAAACTAGGCTAAGGACAAGCCCCGCCACCATATTCTTCCGTATGCAAGACTTACTATTCAGCACCCGACCTGATGCATATAATAAACTCACATGATGTAGACTGTGAAATGATCGCGCGACATAAGTTGAGACTTTTCAAGAAATTGACACAGTGTGTCAGCTATGGATGATAACAACAAATAAGATATTAAATTATGTCGGAAATAAAAACAAAAGGTTGAAACTTCAGTCACAGTATGTTTCTGATTCGATTATTTACAGTCCGCCTTGACATTCAACACCATTCACTCATTGACATACCTGGTTTGACAAGGTCATAGACGTTAGACGTAGGGAGTTAGGGGTGGGTGGGGGAAGGGCGGTCTACCCACTAAGATACATTGAAATCTAAAATACATGTACATTGAAATGTATGACACAGCAAGCACGTGGACGTGATATTGAACACATTTTGTTTGATCCGGGGTAGAATAGGTCTTCAGCAACCCATGCTTGCCGTAAAAGGCGACTATGCTTGTCGCAAAAGGCGACTAACGGGATCGGGTGGTCAGGCTCGCTGACTTGGTTGATGCATGTCATCGATCCCGATTGCGTGGATCGATGTTCATGATGTAAATCACAAGATTGTCTGGTCAAGACTCCATTATTTACAGACCGCCGTCATATAGCTGGAATATTGCTGAGTGCGGTGTAAAACAACAAACCAAGCCAAGCCAAACCAAACCAACCAACGACATCCTAAGGGGATGATGTTCCCTGTTTTGCCACTGTAACTATGAGTTCCAGAGGGGAAGAAAGCCTCGAATATGAGGAAGGTCTTCAACTGCCACAACAAAGACAAATTTTGATAAAATACATGATATGATTATGAATGATCTTGTCACACGCCACACATCACATTGCCAATACAGAAGTATCCGGGCGGACGCTTTACCACTAGACCACGGAGGCGGTCTCTATCTGCCAGAGACTAAACAACAGCCAAAGAGGCAAGGTTTGTTCATGAGCTGCATGGCGATTTTCTAGGTTTACAAAGGAATACTAATGGTCGACTACCTCCCAAAAGGTCACTGCCAGTATATTAATTCCCAATATTATCCTAGTCTGTTGTCGCCATGGCTGCAATGCATGAATGTGGCCTTGAACTCATGGAACATCATCCATATTCACCAGATTTGGACCCGTCGGATTTTTCACTACTTCCCACACTTAAAGAGTGAGTGAGTGAGTGAGTTGGGTTTAACGCCTCTTTAAACAGTATTCCAGTTATATCGCGGCGTGTCACCTTTATGTGGGAGGAAAGCCCGGAGTGATGCAGGTCTCAGACGTTTACCACTTCGGTGAAACCCACTAGCACGGGTATGGTGCTGAAAAACCTAGAAACATAATTGGGGCGAACCGGGATTCGAACCCACAATCATAGGTTTCTGGCGTGCTCAAGGGACGCAACTCTGCACAGCGAATCGCGGCGCCTTAGACGACTGGGCCACCCGTGTCCCCCCACACTTAAAGAAATGCCCATGCTACATCAGCTTTCACATGCACATATAACAGACACGTCCACGTGACTATATCACATACACTGTCACAAGTACATGTCATCGCGAACAAACCTACGTGTTCCCGCGAGTGTTGCAATAACCGCTCCCATATGTAGATGCTATCATGAGCATAGAGTGAGTGAGTGAGTTGGGCTTAACGCCAGGTCTCAGACGTTTACGTCTTCGGTGAAACCCACGAGCACGGGTATGGTGCTGACAAACCTAGAAACATAATCGGGGAGAACCGGGATTCGAACCCACAATCATAGGTTTCTGGCGTGCCCAAGGGACGCAACTCTGCACAGCGAATCGCGGCGCCATAGACGACTGGGCCAACCCCGCCCCCTCATGGGCACAGACGTTACCTTTTGAATATACTTGACATCAAACCGACTGTCATATGGACATTATCCCAACGATTCCACAAGAGCTCGAGTAAACATATATATTTACAATTTTGAAAAATAATGCTGCCCATATTCACAAGCCTTGGCTTTTACGTAACCCTCGTTAGTTGTAACCTTATTCGGCGGAGGTAAAGTAATAGCTACAGTTACTCATAGGTTGTGTAATCTTTAAACATCTCTGCCTTTATCACAGGCAGGAGATTAGCCAGTGAATACAATACCGCACCGCTTACAGTAAACGTCAAGGATGGTGTTGTGTCATACATGTTCTCCAACATAGTTGCCTTTGTAATCTATACGTCCGATCAGATATGTAATCATGTAATCAGATCAGTGCATGTAATATAACCCTGCGTCCTGTCAACATGAAGGCTGGAAGTATTGCGGCAGTTATCCTTTCTCTCTTTGTTGCTGGTACGTCTAAATATGTAGCTTTGAAACAATTATTCTTATTAAAAGCAGTATTTAAACATATAGTTGTTTTAACGATGTTATGCAGAGTACATTGGCTGATTTCTTTTCTCTCTTCGTTGATAGTACGTATATAGATATGCATAGATACATGTGTCATTAATCATTATTTCACCTGTCTAGTCGCCCTTCTTTATACGTATGCAACATAATTATTCACGAGAATACTTTAATGGGTATTAAGAATTGCATTATTGAGATCTGATTGAAGTCAGGACGCAATTCTGCTTACTTTTCTCTGTAGCCTTTCTGTTGTGGCAAGTTTTTAAGTCGGATTTTCTTTAATATTATCAAACAATGTTTCAATGAAGCAAGACAGTAAAATGAATTTAATTGTGAAAATATTATATGCATGGATACCTATTGGGTACCTACATATGGAAACAACAACGTCTACCTCGCATATACATGATATATGAATGAGTTCAATATTAAAAGGTCATTGGACAATTCATTACATCAGTCTTTTACTATCTGACCAAGTTTTCTGTCTACAATACTTTATTAAACACTTACCGCCTCCGTGGTCTAGTGGTAGAGCGTCCGCCCGGAGAGCAGAAGGTCCGGGGTTCGATTGCCGGCAGCGTCATACCAAAAGACGTTAAAAGATAGTACTTGTTGTTACCCTGTTTTGCGCTCGGCATTAATGGGCTAAAACAAGGACTGGTCGGCTCGGAGTCAGTATACTGTGTCATAGTGCGGTATTCATGTTAAACTGTGGCATGGTATCTCAGTGAGCTAGCACTAAAAATCGGCATCAGTCCGGACTAGTACAAGCAGCCACACACTCACACGTGCATGCACGTCGCTATGTATGTGCAATAATCTTGGACGCGACGTTAAACCCAATTTCACCTCACCTCACCTCACCTCACCTCACCTTATTAAACACTTGCATGGAGGGAGTGTTTTAAGTTGGATAACTAGTACCCATTCGGTCTCACTTTTGTGAATATGATATGAAAACAATAATTAAAAAACATTTTTTTAAGCAATTAGCGTGTATATTGAATACCAGTATCAGCTTTTCTGCAACAAGACTTCAGATTTTCAAGTAAGGTGTGGCCGAACCCTTGCTGGCTATACATTATTAATAATGAAACCGTTGACCTAGTTTAGTCTGTTGGGCTGTATGTTGATTTGGACTAGTTGGATTGATGGTGCGGACATTTTGTCGATCAATCAGAACGCGGGAGCAAAAATAGAGCGAACCTTTCGTCAAAAGTTTGTAAACTTCCCCAAAAACAGAGGCGATTAGTTTGTATCTGATCCAATTCAGGTAGTTACTTGGTCATTTATAATAAATGAATGACTTGAAAATTTCGGATATTCCCACAAATGGTTCAGAGCGGAAAACAGGTTTAGCAAAAGAACTTTAAATAAAACGGCAGAAAATGAGATTGAAGAGTGAACCAAGATGGCGGCCATACCTTGTTATTTTCATAGGTAAGGAGAGTTGGATCACAGACGCAGTTAATGTTTACTGATACTACTGATTTGCGTCAAGGTCATGTGGTTACCCTCTCTCGCCAGACAGTCCCATACAACAACGTCACTGTGAGATAATGTAGGGCTGAAATGGTGACCAGTTTACATCTGCTCCGTACATGATGATATACACGTGACATTACTTGGTGTCAAGGGGTATACAGTTCACAGCTTTATCAGCATCTCTTTAAGGTGTCTATCTGTAACTGTGCACCAAGTCAACTGCTGAACAGAGCTACGACAGAAATACCTTTCGTGTACAGACAATCCACGTTGAAAATGTTAATGGCAGTTAGTTCTGCATACACACTGGAGTTCTTCATTCCACTTTGACCCGGGCTTCAAGTAATTCGCATCTCAAAGGAAGAAGCATGATAAGGCTTCGATTTGTCCCAGTGTCTTTGGTTGTTTGTTTAACGCCGCATTCAGCAATATTCCAGCTATATGACGGCGGTCCGTAAATAATGGAGTCTGGACCAGACAATCCAAAGACTGACATCATGAACATCGATCCACGCAATTGGGATACGATGACATGCACCAACCAAGTCAGCGAGCCTGACCACCCGATACCGTCGTTAGTCGCCTCTTACGACAAGCATTGTCGCCTTTTACGGCAAGCATGGGTTGCTTAAGACCTGTTCCACCCCGGATCTTCACGGGTATGCATGGAGGCAAGGATAAATTTTACACGTAATGGAAATGTTGTTATTGAGGTTTGTGAGCATGCTCACGTGACTGATAACGGTCGTTTCCATGGCCATTTTAATGAGTCTCACGTTTCGGACTTTTGGCACCCCAAAGTCCAGATGTTCCCAAGATGAATGTTTCACCATTTCCTTTCTGACCTGCCCTAAAACCTTCTATGCATATAAGCTTGGGTCAAAGACTTTCTCATCATGTGGGTAATTGCACAAACCATGAAACCATGGATTTTGAAAAACAATACGTAGAAAAAGACATGTTAATATCATTTGCCACTTAAATAGGTGTACTACTTGTTTTCAAAACTGCATGAAAGCTTATAGCATCATATATATATCTGCTAATTACTTTAGCATCATATCTATTGTTTAATTATATTATCATGCGAAACTGGCTCCCATAGGAAATATCGCTTGGGTGAGATAAAGCGATATCTACATTGTACATAATGGTGCAATGAAATTGTATCACAGTGCTTGGCAGACCATTGTGACGTCATTAGTATGACATCACTAATGGCTCTGCTACTGAAGCTGTTGGCAGTACTTTTTACACTTAAGACACTGCTTATTACAGTCTACAAACACAAAAAGTTGGAAGAATGATGTTAGATGATAAATAAAATCTCACCCTTGTGTATTTTGATACAAATATATCAACACTCGGAATTTATTCCTCTTTTATCAACTCGTGTTGGTATGTTTGATATCAAAAGACACTCGGGCGAGATTCTCTATACAATATCTGATATTGAAATTTGCCTGTCAATTATTGCTGTGAACAACTTCTGTAATTAATCTACAATATGTGCAGCGAGGAAAGGTTCAGTGCAGCTGTAAATAGCATTCCGTCATGTTAGCTTAATGTCCGAAGTGATGCAGGTCTTCGACGTTTACCACTTTGGTAAAACCCAAGGTCATAGAATCATTACGCCTAAGGGACACAACTCTGCGCAGAAAATGGTGGCGCCTTAATCGAACGGACCACCCGTGCCTCTTCAAATATGACAAAGCAACAGTTTCTGATGCTGGAATTGACAGTGAATACCTGTGTTGAAAATGATACTGTCTCCATCTCTGTTGCGTGCTGCGGTGATGTTGGGGTAATTGTTTGAAAAAACGCACATGTACTGTTCAGAGTACATTGAGGCTAAAATGATAAGCATCTGTCTGTGTTTTTGTGATGTATTGTTGTATTAAGTGCTTATTGTGTTCATATGGTTTTGGAACCAGTGTCGACATTATCTGAATTTTATTTGGTACAGGAACGGCAGCAGAAATATGCTACGGGGCAACTGAGCACATCTACTGCTCGTTTGGATGCTGCTCTGACACATTATATGTGTACTGTTGTCTCAGTAATGGGTACGTATGCTTACACAGAACAAATGATGAAACCAATTGTGCCGCTGTATAAATACCAGGAAGAAAACTCCCAGTACGGATATATAGAAATTAATAATTAAATCTTAATTCATGATAGACTTTCAGAAGTTGTTGACCATTATAAACCGGCAAGATGACTCTTGCATTTCATATCGTATTACCTACGATAAATATGCTGTTTATTTTCAGCGTAGAAATATGATAATTGCAGCTATATTAATAGAAATAAACTGTAATCTACGGTGGCCCATAAGGGACATGGGGTCTGTTTTTCCATATTTTGATATTTCACTTACTTTTATCGTAACCTTTTGCAAATTAACACGATTTTTCTTACGAATATGTGATAAATCATGTGTAAAGAAGATTTTGAATCGCTGAAAAGTGAAACGAAAATGTCAAAAATAACTAAAATGAAAATGTCAAAAACAAAAACGAAAATGTCAAGTCAAAGTCAAAGAAGTTTATTGTACAAAAGGCCACCGGCCCATATACAAGAAAGAGTTACGCATGTAGATACAATTACATTTGTTACACATTGGGATATACACGTTGTTTGATTAATTCATTTCTTTTGGCTAATGCATGCTTAATATAAAGAGAAAGATTTAATATATTTGATTCGTTCTTTGTCGTCAGCATAACTACAAAGGCGTTTATCGGTGACATTGCTATTAAATAATCTTTTATATATTTCTTTCGGAGATCATTGTAAAATGGACAGACAAACACAAAATGAATTTCATTTTCTATCTCTAGCTGTCAAAAACAAAAACGAAAATGTCAAAAACTAAAATGAAAATATCAAAAACAAAAGCGAAAATGTCAAAAACTAAAATGAAAATACAGAAAACTATTTCCACCGCGGTGATAATATTCCCACCGCGGTGGAAATAGTTTTCTGTATTTTCATTTTAGTTTTTGACATTTTCGCTTTTGTTTTTGATATTTATTAATCAAATATATTAAATCTTTCTCTTTATATTAAGCATGCATTAGCCAAAAGAAATGAATTAATCAAACAACGTGTATATCCCAATGTGTAACAAATGTAATTGTATCTACATGCGTAACTCTTTCTTGTATATGGGCCGGTGGCCTTTTGTACAATAAACTTCTTTGACTTTGACTTGACATTTTCGTTTTTGTTTTTGACATTTTCATTTTAGTTTTTTTTGACATTTTCGTTTCACTTTTCAGCGATTCAAAATCTTCTTTACACATGATTTATCACATATTCGTAAGACAAATCGTGCTATTAAATAATCTTTTATATATTTCTTTCGGAGATCATTGTAAAATGGACAGACAAACACAAAATGAATTTCATTTTCTATCTCTAGCTGTCAAAAACAAAAACGAAAATGTCAAAAACTAAAATGAAAATATCAAAAACAAAAGCGAAAATGTCAAAAACTAAAATGAAAATACAGAAAACTATTTCCACCGCGGTGGGAATATTATCACCGCGGTGGAAATAGTTTCATACGGAAAAGTTGTTTTTTATCAGATGGAATATTTGAAGTTTGGGACGCATCTTCGGAAAGACTCCGAAAAGTTATTGAATTAAGATTTTTATCTGAGATTGAATTTTTGTAACTGATCCTATAGGAATTATCCATTCGATAAAGCAGGATGACTGCTGACATTTTAACTGCGATAAAGGTCAAGGAACCATTTGGACGGACCCTTACATGGACCATGGAGTTTGCATGATTGCAGAAATTAGCAGACCTTGTAGAAAACGTTGTGAATGTCATTAGTTGTGTTCATATGAAAGAACTTTATTCCTTTGGAGCCTGGCGTGTCTTGAACTCATAGAAACATTACATTTAAATGTATGGGTATGGTAGAATGTGTCAAAAAGGCTGATATTAGAGAACACAGGGAGCGTCTGAACATGAGCAAGTCTCAAGTTGGTTGACTAAAACACAAACATCTGGTAATACTTGCAATTCATTGATGATATGAGTGCGTGAGTGAGTTGGGATTAATGCCGCTTTTAACAGTATTCCAGTTATATTACGGCAGAAACCTATGATTGTGGGTTCGAATCTCGATTCTCCCCGATTATGTTTCTAGGTTTGTCAGCACCATACCTGTGCTCTTTGGTTTCATCGAAGCGGTAAATGTCTGAGACCTGCATCACTTGGGTCTTTCCTCCCACATTAAGCTGACACGCCGTGATATATCTTCAACACTATTAAAAACGGCGTAAAACCAAACTCACTCACTCACTCATTTTGGCATGACATGCGCGATATAGATACCAAATAGTGTAAACTTTTAAGCACAATAAATTCGTTATGGTGTTTTTGGTTGCTGTATACAGTGTCATATTTAGATAAGCAGAAACATATTGGGCGAGGCTCACAGGGTTAGGTTAGGGTTAGGGTTAGGGTTAGGGTTAGGGTTAGGGTTAGGTTAGGGTTAGGGTTAGGGTTAGGGTTCGCCCAATATTTTTTCTGCTGACCTAATATGACACCGTTTAGGGCAACTAAAAAGACACCACAACAAATAGTATCTATAATTTCGTATTCTCTTGTTTTCAGAGGTGGAGCCGGCATTATCGTGGTCATCTTGATTTTCTTCGTTTGTGCAGTGGCCTTCTGCATACGACGAAGAATGACCAACGTGAGATTCACAGGAACAGTGATATCGCAGCCCGGAGTTAGCGTTGTGCAATGCACCACAGCTTCAGGTACTGACATAACTATAATTTATAAATGTGTGCTGCGAGGTCAGGCCCATATCTCAGCTGGTTCCATATACGTATACTTCGCTAATTTCCGTTATACTCATCTGCTTTTGCTATACATCTTGTGTACTCACTAACCTACAGACCCGTGCAGATCCGGGGTAGAATAGGTCTTCAGCAACCCATGTTTGACGTCAAAGGCGACTATGCTTGTCGTAAGAGGTGACTAACGGGATCGGGTGGTCAGGCTCGCTGACTTGGTTGATGCATGTAATCGTATCCAACTGCGTGGATCGATGCTCATGATATCAATCACTGAATTGTCTGGTCCAGACTAGATTATTTACAAACCGCCTTCGTGTAGCGTCCTGTGCCGATATATAGATGACATAGCTCACCTCGTCCTGTGCTGATGTATTGATGACATAGCTCACCTTATCCTGTGCCGATGTATAGGTGACATAGCTCACCTTGTCCTGTGCATTGATATGTGTAGATCGGCTGTGAAGCTCAGCTTGTCTGGTGTGATTTTTACATATAAAATAACTTTACAAAAAGGTTGATGGCAACTGATATGAAAAGACCCTGTTCTATCTCTTTCAGGTCAATCAAACCTAGGCTATGGGGAACAACCACCACCGTATTCCTTGGCACCCAAAATTTAATAATCTGACCATATGCATACCAGGAACCAACAGCATCTGATATAATCCCGTGACAAAAATTTAAACTTTTTTCAAGACACACGATGTCAGCTATGGATGATTATTTTATAATGTCGGCCCAGGGCCCACTTGCACAAAGCAATCTTAGCGCTAAGATGATCTTAACTCCCATACTTTAACATAGGCTTACAATAGTCGTAGCGCTAAGATCGTTTTGTGCAAGTGGGCCCTGGTTACAAATCAAGGTGATATGATTGAGATATATTTTCGCTGGAAACATTTCTCCGCAAAACGTCGATTTCATTGCAAGTTTTGATAAGACTACTTTGCAGTAGAAATTAGGATTACTGAAAAAATGTGCGTTCAGAATTATTTGGATACAGAACATTATTATTGCACTTAGAGATTATTGCACTTAATTAGCGACGCGCTTGTACGTGTGTGCTTGTACTAGAACATGATGTATATATGCTATATGATGAAAACGTCTGGCATTTTAGCTGTGTTTTGTTAAAACATAATTATGATGTTTTTAACATTATGCTGCAAAATGATATAAACTAACGTGTATGAATATTTCTGTGATGTAAGTTTCACGATTGTTCGAGTAGTCTCACGTACCACAATGCGCTGTGTACATCTGTCCATTTGGTGAACGAGAATCACACAACTCCTGTTGATGTTTAACACATTTCTGACACAACTCCTGTTGATGTTTAACACATTTCTGACACAACTTCTATTAATAGTTAGGATATTTGTGACACAACTTCTGTTTATAGTTTCACACATTTCTGACACAACTTCTGTTAATTGTTAGCATACATTTCTGACACAACTTCTGTTAATGCCTAACACATTTCTGACACAACTTCTGTTAATTGTTAACACATTTCTGACACAACTTCTGTTAATTGTTAACACATTTCTGACACAACTTCTATTAATGCCTAACACATTTCGGCCACAACTTCTGCTAATTGTTAACTCATTTCTGACATAACTCCTGTTGATGTTTAACAATTTGTTGACACAACTCCTGTTGATGTTTAACACATTTCTGACACAACATCTATTAATGGTAAGCATATTTCTGACAAAACTTCTGCTAATTGTTAACACATTTCTGACACAACTTCTGCAAAATGTTAACACATTTCTGACATAACTTCTATTAATGGTTGGCATATTTCTGACACAACTTCTATTAATAGTTAGCATATTTCTGACACAACTTCTGTTTATGGTTAACACATTTCTGACACAGTTTGTGTTAATTGTTAGCATACATTTCTGACACAACTTCTGTTAATGCCTAACACATTTCTGACACAACTTCTGTTAATTGTTAACACATTTCTGACACAACTCTGCCAATTGTTAACATATATTTCTAACACAACGCCTGTTAATGGTTAACATATTCCTGGCCTACATTATGATGCAAGGAGCATTACTGTTAATGATAATTGTGATGCGACTTAATTAGATGTGTAAACTTATGTTCACGTGAAAAGCAGATCTGTATGAACAATTTAAACACACACTTTTCTAAAACGTTGATACTTTTTGTTCACTTCTACGCCTAATCTAAGATGCAGCAAATCGAACGAAACATTAAATAGCAAATGCAACAATTATATTCTGTCGAAAAAGCCAATGATCATAAGGCTTTTGCGTATATAAATAAGAATTTAACTCCAGTATCGGAATTCGCTACAAATAAAATAGAGTGTCGTTCAGAAGGTTTGTGCTTGACTTACTCTACGATCAATGATCAGAGATCTCTTTCAACATTCTGAGCTCAGAACAGGAACAGCGAATTATTGTACCAGACATTAAAACAACTTTGGCAAAACGAGCTTTTTCAGTAGCAAGTCCACATCTATGGGACTCCGTCCCCTCTAACTTGAAAAGTGCCAAGAATATTGATTCGTTGATTGTAAATAGTGACTGGTGACACCAGGTGTTCGCGAAACGGTAATTGTATCTTGCCCCAACCGTTACAAACACATGCAACGCAACCGTTCACCTGAGATACCACGCGATGTGAGGTGAGGTGAAATTGGGTTTAACGTCGCGTCTAAGATTATTGCACTTATATAGCGACGTGCATGCACGTGTGTGTATGTTGCTGCTTGTACTAGTCCGGACTGATGCCGATTTATAGTGCCAGCTCACTGAGATATCATGCCGCAGTTTAACATGAATACCCTACTCAGACACAATATACTGACTCCGAGCCGACCAGTCCTTGTTTTAGCCCCTTAATGCCGAACGCCAGACAGGGTAACAACAAGTACCATCTTTTAACGTCTTTTTGTATGACGCGGTTGGCGGGTTCGAACCCCGGACCTTCCGCTCTCCGGGCGGACGCTCTACCACTAGACCACGGAGGCGGTCTGTCCATGCTTGACAACTGGCATTGTATTAAAGAGCCTGTGTGTGACCAGTTGTGTTTTTTGATATTTGTGGTCGGTGAAAAGGTAAAGAGTTCCTCCCTCATCCCCTTTGTTTTCAATTTAAAAAAGTCCAACCACCGCCCCCGAGAAATTCATACATATTTTTATGCAGCCTAACTACTGATCTTTTGAGCGAATGTATCTTTCCACATCATTACCGTAGTATGTTGTCTTTTTTGTCTTAAGCTGTAGGGGAAATGGGATGTAGGGGTTTTGGGAGGTTACCCTTTCAAATGTACATAGACCGCATCCGTGATCTAGTGGAAGGAGCATCTGCCCGGAGAGCGGAAGATCAGTGTTCGACCATAGGCCGCGTCATACCAAAATATGTTACAAGATGGTAATTGTTGTTTCACTGCCTGACGCTCGGCATTGAGGGCCTAAACAAGGACTAGCCGGCTCGGAGTCAGTATACTAAGTAGGGTATTACTGTTGAATTGAGGCATGGTACTTCAACGGGCAAGCACTATAAAATCGACACACACCCCACACACATACGCCAACACCTCCGCACATACACATATGCATGCACGTCGGTATTTGGGGTTAAAGATGACAACAACATATTCGTGTCAACAAAGATAGGCAGAGGTAAATCACTTTCAAACTAAGCTGCACCAATCATGGATGCTGATTTTGTGAAACGTTCTCTGAATGGACTATCGATACATGCCATAATCCAATCATATTTAGCACAGGAAAGTGGGCTTGATGTGGCAAGGGTGGAAACAAGACTCTGATAAAAAGGGTTGAGGACGCTCTTGCCTCGGGAAGATGGGGTTGGAGGTGCCGGCATAGTTTACTATACGTTCAGACGGAGACTAACTGACTGTGTTGACCAGCAGCTGCATTCAGAACTATCTGACAGTCCTTATACTCTTTTCATGCTTGTGGGGCGGTCGGGTAGCACATGCACATGTTAAAAGTCATATCCACAAGCACATGTTAAAAGTCATATCCACATGCACATGTTAAAAGTCATATCCACATGCACATGTTAAAAGTCATATCTACATGCACATGTTAAAAGTCATATTCGCATGCGAAAACAGTCACATCCACATACACATGATAAAAGTCATATTCACATGCTTAAGCGATCACATTCACATGCACATGCTAAACCAGTCATATTCACATGCTAAAACAGTCACATCCACATGCACATGCTAAAACAGTCATATTCACATTTTAAAACAATACCATTCACATGCACATGCTAAAACAGTCATATTCACATTTTAAAACAATGCCATTCACATGCACATGATAAAGAAGTCCCATTCGTATGAGCACAAATTTAACAGTCACATGCATATGTGAAAACGCATTCGCATGCACATGATAAAACTGTCACATTTACTTGATAAAAGAGACACATTCAAAGGAACATGCTAATACGGTCACATTCACATGCACATGGTAAAACAGACAGGTCTGCATGTACATGATAAAACAGACACGTTCGCATGTACATGATAAAACAGCCACATCCGCATTTACATGATAAAACAGTCACATCAACAATTACACAATGAAACAGTCACATCCACAATTACATGATGAAACAGTCACATCCACAATTACATGATAAAACAGTCACATCCACAATTACATGATAAAACAGTCACATCCACAATTACACGATGAAACAGTCACATCCACAATTACATGATAAAACAGTTACATCCACAATTACATGATAAAACAGTCACATCCACAATTACACGATGAAACAGTCACATCCACAATTACATGATAAAACAGTTACATCCACAATTACATGATAAAACAGTCACATCCACAATTACATGATGAAACAGTCACATCCACAATTACACAATGAAACAGTTACATCCACAATTACACGATAAAACATCCACAATTACACGATAAAACAGTTACATCCACAATTACATGATAAAACAGTCACATTCACGTGTACATAATGAAACAGTCACATCCACAATTACACAATGAAACAGTCACATCCACAATTACACGATAAAACAGTCAAATCCACAATTACATGATAAAACAGTCACATCCACAATTACACGATGAAACAGTCACATCCACAATTACACAATGAAACAGTCACATCCACAATTACACAATGAAACAGTCACATCCACAATTACACGATAAAACAGTCACATCCACAATTACACAATGAAACAGTCACATCCACAATTACACAATGAAACAGTCACATCCACAATTACATTATAAAACAGTTACATCCACAATTACATGATAAAACAGTCACATTCACGTGTACATAATGAAACAGCCACATCCACAATTACACAATGAAACAGTCACATCCACAATTACACAATGAAACAGTCACATCCACAATTACACAATGAAACAGTCACATCCACAATCACACAATGAAACAGTCACATCCACAATTACACAATGAAACAGTCACATCCACAACTACACAATGAAACAGTCACATCAACAATTACATAATGAAACAGTCACATCCACAATTACATGATAAAACAGTCACATCCACAATTACACAATGAAACAGTCACATCTCAATTACACAATGAAACAGTCACATCCACAATTACATGATAAAACAGTCACATCCACAATTACACGATGAAACAGTCACATCCACAATTACATGATAAAACAGTCACATCCACAATTACACAATGAAACAGTCACATCCACAATTACATGATAAAACAGTCACATCCACAATTACACAATGAAACAGTCACATCCACAATTACATGATAAAACAGTCACATCCACAATTACACGATGAAACAGTCACATCCACAATTACACAATGAAACAGTCACATCCACAATTACACGATGAAACAGTTACATCCACAATTACACGATAAAACAGTTACATCCACAATTACAAGTTACAACAGTTACATCCACAATTACATGATAAAACAGTCACATTCACGTGTACATAATGAAACAGTCACATCCACAATTACAC